CCTTAATCCCTTCCCCAGTGCAGGGTAGCAAACCGGATGTGCGTCTGGTTAACCTCCCTGCCTTCCTTGCATCTTTATCTCTCTTTTTCTTTATCTCTCTCTCTCTCTCAAGCCAGCGAAACGGCCGCAAGTGTGCCATCAGCAAGGCATGGAAATCTTGTCGCACATGACTGTCATGATTTCCGTCTTACTACCATAGTGTTTTACATTCGTCATGCAGTTGCGTCACACAACAACAAATTTTGTGTATAAATTTAAGGAAACAGCTGTAGGAGCACCACACTCGTAGCGTGTAAATTATATCGCTCATGACAAGGTAGACATGATTTTCATGTGATTAGTAGGATATGTTTTTCGTACAGTTAGGACATGTGACATTTATTTTGATATTAATAAAACCACAACCATATAGTCTAGAGATATTAACATCGTAGGCGGATACATACATACATATATATATATATATATATATATATATATATATATATATATATATATATATATATATATATAACCAGCCGTGAGCAGGAAACCTGCTCACGGCTGGTTATTTTTTCATCCATTTTTCTTTCTTCCTATTTACAATCCATTGGTTCTAATAACTTCCCCTGTACATTCCTTGGCATTACTGTCTGTTAGATCTCATTAATATTCGTGTTAAAACACGGAAAAACGAGCCCTTAGGTATACACTTCTTTCCCTTATTTCATTGAACGAGGGTCTCGTACTGGCAGACTTGGTGTGTTTAGGTTGTATAAGAGGGACAATTCATCAGCTGCCCGCTGGTAATAAGTTCACGTGCTACGTGACGCCAAACATGCGCATAAGAGTTTTTTCACACTCGTCGTTTGGCTTATAGATGTTGCTGACTGTCATTCCTACTTCTAAATTCACATATAAACCCAAAAAAGTGGATGGAGGGAAGGCCGCTGTGGTAGCTCAGTGGTTAGAGCATCGAACGCGTTATTCGAAGGTCGTAGGTTCGTTTCCTGCTCACGGCTGGTTATTTTTTCATCCACTTTTCTGTCTTCTTATTTACAATCCATTGGCTCTAATAACTTCCCCTGTACATTCTTTGGCATTACTGTCTGTTAGATCTCATTAATATTGTGTTAAAACACGGAAAAACGAGCCCTTAGGTATACACTTCTTTCCCTCATATATATATATATATATATAGTCCAGTAGGTCCTCCGTGAGTGGTCACAACGTGGTTTATTTCGACGTTTCGGCCTAGAGTCTGGCCTTGAAGGCCAGACTCTAGGCCGAAACGTCGAAATAAACCACGTTGTGACCGCTCACGGAGGATCTACTGGACTATATGCAACGCTACGGCCACTCAACCACCATGCCTGTCCATATATATATATATATATATATATATATATATATATATATATATATATATATATATATATATATATATATATATATATATACCTCCGAAGTTTCCTAGGAAATGCTTCGCATTTATTATTTTGGGTATTATAATTCAATGAAACTGCCGTGAGCTCCCCTAAACATTACCCATGCCAGTGAACTAGATCGTTTCTTTGGCGAAGCCCACCGAGAGTGCTAGACGGCGAACTGATCACGAATGCTGTACTTTCCTGTTCCACTCGACCCAGTGCTGCTACCTACTGGTGGCATTGCGTTCTGAAAAACTCAATTTCTTCACATTACCGCCAAATTGCGCCATAAATCACGCAGCGCCTCTAAGCAGTGTGTTTCGACGTCCTTTGCAGTGAAGCCTGGAGATACGTGGCCATTTTTTTTTCACTGTCTCTCACAGCATGCACTCTTTTATTGTTCCGTTGCTTCACCGAGTACCGTGAGTTGTTGTGTTTATATTGCGAATCGCACCAGTGATAGTACGTTATTGTAGAGTTGACTCCACTTGTTTCTTAGGCACGGGGAACGACGCCGAAGACCTTCTTGCACTTCTTCTCGCACGCGTCGAAGGTGAGGAAGTTGTTGGCGTTTCCTCCGCACCCTCCGTAGATGAACTGCTCGCAAGTCTTGGTCAGCGTGTTGTAGAAGAAGCGAGGCATGTACGCTTCGCAGGGTCCAGCGTCGACCGAGTAAGTGCACTCCTTCAGGTGGCGCGACTGTGGAAGAAGATGATGGCCGCATTAGTATCGCTTCGTGTTTGTGAAATAAATAGCACGTCTATTGATCCTAAATTCACTGCGGTGGCTTAGGATGAGCAAGAGAGTGACGTGCTTGGGCTGGTGTTTTGAGTTAGATCTGCAGCACAGGTGACGTGCGTTGATTGGTGCGTAGCGTGATTGTAGTTTTGCAGATGGGTACCTAACGTGACTGGTGCTTAACGCGCTTAACACAGTAAGAGAGTGGTAAAGGCGAAAAGAGGACAACACTTTGCAAGATGGCACGACAGTGTTAGCAAGATAACCCGAAAGTTGTGTTGCGACAAAGGCGATAGATTGATCGAAAACAGGTGAAAATCGATAACTTTCTCCCATATTTCTACTCAAATAGTTCTCCTTGTTCAGCATTCCGTATGGAATTCTGTTTATTTTCTGTTGTTTTGTTATCCTCTTGGCAGCATGAGTAGGGCAATGAATAGTGTGAAGATACTAGGTACTTTATAAGGGGTTTTACTCTATGTGAATGAACGGTTAGCATTTCAAACATTGAAATTGAGCTTTTGAAGCAGGGCATGCGCAACATGATAAAACTATAAAACAATACTTTAACACGCAGGGCGAAGGATAGGAATGACTAGGGAGCTCACACGAAGCGGCGCCTTACGGGTTGACAAGGGAATCCGCTTCGAATATCAGCGTTTGTGCTCGCATTGAAAAAGTACGTGTCGTTTTTTTTTTCATTCAAACAGTTGCAAGTTTAGCGCCATGTCTGTCTGCTTTCTTTCATCCTGTGTATAAGAGTGCTGTTGGGTTTGTTCACATATGATCGAACATAAGGTCCTAGTCACCATTCACGATTTTGGTGATATTTTTTCTGATATTTTGGAATCTTGGCACCAGTGCCAGTACAACGTTTTTGAATTTTATTTTTGGAAAAAAAATTGGTTTACGCAACAAAGTATACCTTTTGGTGGCAAGACATGCTTGTCCAAATATTTCGCGATTGTAGAAATTTTAAACACACAAAAGTAAAACATCATGCGCTTTTTATTCACAGTAACAATTACCCCTAAAGCAAAAGTTTTCAATATTGTTGGGCAAATATTTTCTTCTTGGGAAAATTGAGAGGAAAAATGCACAAACGTGGCAAACCGCATTGCATACCTGCATTTCAGAGATTTATTGCTACAGAGAATTTAGACTGAAAATAATAAAGCCAAAAACTTATTACTTTTAATACTTTCGCTTTATCTGTAAGGAAATTTAGCGGTTACATTGGTTGTTAACAAGTTGCAATGCGTCTAATGTAACCAATCTAGCCTTGCAGCCGCGTTGGTCGTTATGAGCATAAAATGGAATATAAGTTCTTCAAACGAATTGTATGCGATGTAATCACAAGAAACAAGTCCATAACAACAAATGCGCAGCCGGTTTGCACCGTACAACAGCCTTGGTCTTTCAATCGGATGCTTGACGAATCCGCATCAGCGGCCGCTCCATGTTTCGGGCACTCACGTTACAGCTCTGTACAGTACAGTACTTAACACTGTGACGCCATCTGTTTACGTCGGATGGAGTTTGACGCGAAAACCACGTAGTCAAAGCACGGAACATGTACCTGTTTGTCGAACATATGGGCCCTGCTAGTGAACACAGACCGTATAGTCAAGGACATGTACTGGTGCAGGCGCGACTTACTGCGGTGGTTTGATTGCGACAACAATTATATGAACACTCCAAGAAACATATTTCAGTTGGTACCGACCTGACAGCCCGTAGAAAGCTCGAGTATGGTAAGATTCTATCACACTCCACGCATGGGACGTTGGAGAAATGACTGAAGATATGCAAAATACACTGCCATCTTCACAATGGAGACAGTAAGGCTGTGTAGCCAAGAGGTAGCGGGGCGCGAGCACAAGCGCAGCGAAAAATGCAGCTGCAGTTTAAGAGGGCTGGTATTCTCCACTCGGCCTGGCCTGGAGTGAGAAGGCCTTTGCTATGTGCAGCAAGTTCGACTGGCTCGGCCCAGAACTATCTGCTCTTATGCTCGTGCGAAAGACCGTTACGACGCAAGACACCTGCCAGTCACCTTCGCCAAATGTGAGCTCGCCTGAATGTGGATGCCTTAGCGAAAGAAGGGGCTTTGCCAGAACCTCTTTTCGAAGTACTGCGGCCTACTTGACGTCACGCAACACTTGAGTGACGTAACTTACGTCGTTGGGAAAGCGAGCCATCAGAAACAGAGAACTGAGGTTTGTGCATATTGCACAGTTGAAGCCTTACAAGAAGGGCTTACTCTAACCTTCTTGGTGAGCTTCGTCTGGCCCCGGGGAAAATGTAACGTGGCTTTCAAAGAGTGCGCAAAAAGGAGGAAGAGAAAGAACTGGCGCAAGGGGTCTCTGATCGATGGCTTTCGACCATCCCTTATGTTTTTTTTTTCTTTTGCGAACGCTCACCGCTCATTTTACATAAACCTATCCCATCTGCAACAATATCATAATTGTTAATTTATGTAGTGGAAATTCAGTGGAAAATTTTGGGTTATATTTAGGTTATTGCCATGGCGCTTGTTGTAACCATATGGGCAGCTTTCTGATGCACGACACTTTATTCAAGTTTAGTTTTAGCGTCGTTTTGATTTTGCAGAGTGACTAGAAATCACTGCGTAATTTGATTTGGGGAAATTATTCAAAATTATTAAAACCTACTTGAGAAAAGAAGTCCTAATCAAGTAAGTCACTTCAGACCTGAAAACGGACTTATGCGGTGACATACGCACCAGTGCATCTAGGTAGGCCAATGTGATGTGCTAAGACCTAGATACAGGTGAAGGTTCAAAAGAACTAAACCAGCCATGCTACATACGTTCTTAGCAAAACAGGTACTTACAGGGCCAGAATGGAGCTTCGAAGGCATCAACCATCTTCAGAGAATGCTGATCCAGGGATGCTGCGTGAGCGAAGTAAGAACAGTCTTAAGCAATGCCTCTATTAAGTGAACCGCACAGCGACGACGTCAACTTCAATTGCAGTATGATTCGCGGCCCTTGCTCTCGCGAACAATGAATAAGCGGTTTAACATCACACTGTGACTAAAGCGCCCCCATTTCAGGCACCCCAGTGTGGCAGTTGATTGAGTGCGCGTAACATTAGTTATGCCATTTCTCGTTGTAGCCACTCTTATTCATACTATTCCCTTGAGTACCACTACATCATGTTCAGGTGCAAATAAAATAAACTTTTCACAAACGCGCCAAATTTTCGCATTATTTTATGTCGCTGAAAAATATGTTACAAGAAATTAAAACGGTTAATATGTGTTTTTGCAACTCTTAGTAAACAATCGCAACGCGCCCCTAATTAAGTATTTATTTATTATGCCATCACTCATATTCGATTTGTTCAGAAGAAGACCCAGATCTTAAGCTCAAGCCGCGCGCGCTAGTTCTTTTTTTGTTCTGTACCTTTTGAGGAAAGAAAAATGGCACTTTGGACTTTCCTCCCGGAAGACGGCATGTTAAACAACCTGCTTACCGTTGGGGTGCCGCTTCCAGTAATGCGCAGCAGACGTATACATCACACTGAGTTAGGTTTTGTGAACAAGCTCTGGCTATGCTGGAGGTTTAATTGACCCACACGCGAGTTATTTGACTCTTCTTTTGCAACAATTTGAAAGAAAAAGCTGGCCAAAGTAGTTGTATCCACATGAATGGACACTGCACCTGAAGGAGCTACCATATTGCGGCATATCGGGCACGTTGAATGCCGCCAGCCACACCTCTGAAAACGAGTCTCAGTGATGTGGGACACAGAGGCAACATCAAAGGATTAAATAATTCGGGACTATCAACGAATGTTTATCCAGCCTAGGAGTTTCCTGTGACGCATGAAAACACAAAAGAATAACAACGTGATGTCCGAAGCCCTTGAAACTGCTCGTTGTTTACATGAGACATGTGACGTTTGAAAGTCCAATCAGTTTCCTCATGCCTACTGCCTGTCGACGCGTGATTACCTCACGAATTTAGCATAAAAAACAGGTTGATGAGGTGGTGCCTAGGGGTTGCGTTCGTCATCCATGTTATCTGTCTCCCATTCACTCACCCCAGCATGTCTCCTTGCACTCCTTGAGGGTCACGAAGTTGTTGCCGTTGCCCTGGCAACCTCCGTAGATGAACCTCTGGCAACTCTTGGTCACGTTGTCATAGTAGTAGCGAGGGAAGTAGCCGGCACACATACCGGGTTGCTTGGTCTCGTTGCAGACCGGGTTCAGTCCTAGCGATCTCGGCCAACCTTTTGTGCATAAAACAAACGAATACCGAGCTAGTTGGTGTGCACTCATTGTGAAAGCTTTGCAGCATATGGCTGCGAACTACGTGATCTGCGTCTACATGCGAGGGCTGCTCAACCTTCATCGTGCGCGTGCACGCATTTCTGAGAGTACGATGAAGAAGAGACGACGGTGATCTGTATGGCTGGTTTTCGTTTTGTAGTGTGCAAAAGAAGAGAGAAATTGACAAGCTTGTGAACCGTAGTAGCATAAAGACTAATAAAGAAATGTCCACGAGAGATTGAACACCTGCTGCATTTCTATGTCGAACGATCATGCTGCTACAAGCTATCCTCAGCGAATTCTCGAATCATATATTCCTCACACAATAAAGTATGTATATGTTGATGATCTAAAGAAGAAATAAATGCGCACTTACAAAGGTGGTGCCGTAACAAAATGAATATATGGTAATGATAGGTTGTTTGCCTCTGTTCCTCAAGATATTCTGACACCAAGCATAGGAACAATGCAAAAAAAAAACAGTAGTCTCTTGGGGACATGGATTTGATTCCGGGCGGCCACATTTGAGTGGGAAGAAAGGTGCATATACAGGAGCCATCAGACGTACCAAGTTCTCTATCCTATGTATTTCATATGACAGCATTGCGTGGGAATATTAGACGCCCCCTGTACATCTGTGCACTTATATGTAGGTGCACCATAAAAAGCCTTATTTGTTTGAAAAGAATCCTAAGTCCCTCGTTTGGCTTTCCCCGCAATCATAACGTGGCTTCAGCGCAGAGATGCTTCGCACTTATTAAAAAAGGGTCTCATGTGCGATAAATCAAAATATTGCATCGTGAAAATATTCTTGACAAAACATTGTCGCGAGATATAAATAGGATAATGGTGTCTACCCAAAATCACCCGCAATTGCCAACTGGCGAAACGAAATGAAGTGCATTTTACGTACCGGTTTCCCTGGAGAGGATTGGGTTAGCACGAATGATGTCTTCCAGGGCAACTGCAACAATAAAAATATCAGGTTTTGAGAAAAAGCTCTGCTTGCAATGAACTTTGATATGAGTTAACGTAAAGGTGGGCACAATATAAGACCCGTATGCGGCGAGAGAGTTTATGAGTGTGTGTAAATTACCCCGCCGTGGTGGTCTAGTGGCTAAGGTACTTGGTATGCTGATCCGCAGGTCGCGGGATCGAATCCCGGCTACAGCGGCTGCATTTTCGATGGAGGTGAAAATGCTGCAGACCCATGTGCTCAGATTCAGTTGCACGTTAAAGAACCGCAGGTGGTTGAAATTTCCCCTGTTTTTCTGGTCGTATTTAATCGCCTACGACAATTGTATCTCTTAAATGGCATACTCCTTCCATCCCAATTCACCGGTTTTTTTTTCGTTGTCGTGTCGCATTAGTGGTCAACTGTCTCAGAATAAGTATCGGCCCAAGGCTATGTGCTCGAACACACAACGCAACAAAATTGGTTTCACTGAAGTCGAGGTGGCTGCATAAGCAGTCGTATATCACAGTAATATTATGTGGGGTTTAACGTCGCAAAACTACCGTATAATTATGAGAGACGCCGTAGTGGAGTGCTGCGGAAATTTTGACTGCCTGGGGCTCTTTGACCTGCACCAAAATGTGAGCGCATAGGCTTACATCATTTTCACCTACACCGAAAATGCAGACGCTGCAGCCGGGATTCGAACCCGCGACCTGCGGGTCAGCAGCCGGGTCCCTTATCCACCAGACCACCGTGGCGCGGCAAGCAGTCGTAAATCAAGAAGTAATGCCCGAGGAACGGCGTGATGAGATTTTAAATAATTTGGTGACACTCTTCCCAGAACATGAGCTGGTTTAAAAGTACAAGACAAGGTCATGCGTTTTTATAAGTCGGTGACCTCTATGACGTACGTGCAATGCTTCACCTAAAAATTAAGTTATTCCAACTTGAACATGGTCAAATATTCAGATACGCATTTCGGTATCCCGTGATAATCGCAGAGAAATAAGATTCTGCTTGGACTAAACCATTGTACTGATCCAGCTCAATAATTGAACTTTTGCTCTCTGTGAAATGTGATACGCATATCTTTCCTATTTTACTTAAAACAACATTCTGTCATTGCGCTCACAGTATTTCAGAGAAAAAAAATGGCCCGAATCTACACGTTACACTATGAATGTCGTCGAAAGACGATAGTCTTGTGTCTGGAGAGAGTGAACAAAACGTTTATTTGATGTTCTGCGCAAGAAAATCGGTGAATGGTATTCTGGAGGCGCTGCGTTGGAGTGCCTCGAGCGTGTAACGGAAGCGAACAAACGCATCTAGGCCCGTTAGGGCGTAAGCGCCATCTGGCAGTTATCTTCGAAAACGAAGGCGTGCGCGACCGCGGAGCAAGATGCGCGCCGGTCACGGTGGTGATAAGGGGTAGAATGCAAAGCGACGGGCAGGTGCCACCACAATGCCGTCGCAACAAAGCGTTGGAAACACCTTCTTGAGCATCGCGTTGCACTGTAAGCGCAGTGAGTTAAACGCTACAGCCCTAGAGTTACTTCTGTGTGCCTCTTCTAGTATAAAGGCAGACATAAAAAACATAGACATGTTGTTATGGCGCCTCAGGTATGCGCAATATTTGCTTTTTTAATTGACAATCGCACAACTGTGAACGCTAAACCTTGAGCAATATTTGTGGGCGCTGCGGATGGGGTTGTCCGTTTGATGCCGTTATCGGTATCGTTAGGGCGGACAAACAGACAAATGTGCAGACAGACAGATAGACAGACAGATCAAAATTTTTTCATCAAAGGTCCCCAAAAAAGACTATCGTCTTTAAAAAAGTTCTCCACTTACGGGGCTTCTTGATGGGCTTCTTCCAGGCCTGGTCATCGGAGGTTAAATAGCCTGCACGGTAATGAGTGTATGCTAGAATTATCTTTGTTGTCTGATGCCTAAACAAAATGTAAAAAAGGTTTTTTCTAGAGGCAATTGAACTATATTAACGTTTAGATTGTGGATTTCATATACGAGTATTTCTCTTTCTCAAACTGAGTTTCAGCGGTTTCAATGCGTTTATATCGGATGACGATCCTAGATGGTTAGATGCGAAATACAACGTTCTAAAAAAATGACTTTGCCATCGATAGAAATCAGTAAGTTATAAATTAAGCTTCAAAAAGGGAACAGTTATTTCATGTCAAGTTCTCGGAACACGTTTACACTGCAGATCAGTGCGGCTTGATTAGTTAACGAAAGTCTTCGCTTGTGTTGTCAATTAAATATGTCAATCACGTCAACGCTGAACGAGATATAGGAAACTTAATGTACCTGGGAAGATTTCAAAAGTGAGAAGATCTTTTTTTTTTTTTGCTCATGCCACCAGAGGAAACTTCGTAGTCTTACACGCGGTTACCAATAGAAAGCTAGACATCACCGCTGGGACTAAGTAACTTTCACTAGATAAATTTCTGTAACGTATTACATAGGTCGAAAAAAACTTGTAGAGCTCACTGCCACTCACTTGTGAACTACATTTCTCTTTGAACTCACTCGGACTCAGACTCACCAAATATTTTTCTGAGCCGGACTCACTCGGAGTCACTCACGAAAAGTTACTTTAACCGAACTCACTCGGACTCTAACTAACCAAAGTACCACTTACCCGGACTCACTCAGACTCATAATCATGGTTCGATATGAGTCTAAGGGAGTCATATATAAGTCGACTCATGAGCCCGTCAACATAGGTCCTAGCTTTCTCGACCAAGGTGTGAATGCTTTTTAACACCAACACCCCCCATCATCCATGTTCTTCTTGGCGCCGTTTGATAGTACCTTCGAATGCAAGTTATGAGTGCTCGAAAACCAGTTTGGTAATTCGTCTTGAGATAGATGACAACATAAGACGTGTTTGTCAACAACTTTTCGAAAGAGTTAATGGGGAAGGGACACGTCAGTGCACCGCCTACGTAATCTACGCCTCTCGTGAATAAATATTAAATGGGTACATTAACAATATATTGCTTCGGAACACGTAGAAATCGACGCGATTGTAATTGTTAATCTAAGTAAGGCTGATAGTTATGCTGAAAATGAGTAGATAAGAGAATGGGTAGGCAAACAATGTGACACCCGCTCAGACTCACTCAATAAATATATTTTGTGCTTTCGACTCACTCAGACTCAGACTCGCCAAAGTTTTACTCACCTGGACTCAAACTCAGACTCAGACTCTCACTCAGACGCAGACTACCGGCTTGGTCGGAGTCTGAGTGAGTCGAATCATGAGTGAGTTCGCCGACCTGTGACACTTGTCAACGATTCTATGACGTGTCGTTGAGGCTGCTGAGAACTCAAAAATGGAAAGAATCACACTCTCCACAGATAGCTCTATCAGCGTGGCCTGAATGAGTGGGATAACACTGAAAACTAAACTAAGCGTAACAGAATTCACGCTAAACATTTCCTATGTGCTACACTCGGACTGGTCTGTCCTAACAAAGGGAAAAGTTTGGAGAGCGACAACCCAAACTGCTCATAGGCGCCACACATCTGTCGGGAAAAGCAGATAAAGGAATTTATTTACATTCTGCAGCTGAAGTGGCTGACAGGCATATTGGTGAGAGATCAACTGGTGATTCTATGACGCATTGTCACAGAACCCATTACCTTTCGTTTAGCCTTTTAGACAACGTAGCTCGCAAACACTGGTAGCCGTGGGCAGTTCGCAGCGACATGTGACTCAAGTACATTGTAAGCGATGTACATAACTGCATATGTATATATTTATACGCAGAATTCATTCGTGCCAATATTCGAGATTGCTAGGTGTCTAGACACGAATTGAAAAATTTATGTGTGGTTCTTGTGTGGCGTGTTAATTTATGGTTTATCAGGTTAAAAGAACTAAATGGCCATAAAGCTACTGGAAGGTTCATAATTAGCTCAACTTCTTCTAGTTGCTCACGTGGTTTAATACCGAACAAGGGTGTCCATGCAGGCTAGTTGGTATTTCATTGCAGGATTTTGGGTGTAGCGCCCCATACAAAATAAAGCTTATATGTGCAATGAACGGCTTTATATGAATGGCTTTGTATGTGCAACCAGGGCAAAACAAAGTTTAGTTGCGAGTGCACCTCCTTTCCGGGAACTACTTGTTCTTACAATTTTGTAGGCTCGCTACACCCAATATTCGGTGCTGTGATACATCCGCAGTGCAATCAATTACAAAAAAACCTGGCGGGACCCTTTGTCATAGGAGTCGGTATAACAAGAAAGTGAAAAGGGTCTTCACAGAGGTACATTGGCGTTCACTATTCCACCGAAAAGCGAGAACATAAATGCTTCAGCAACGAATTGTCATATGAGAAGGAACGACGAGCAGTTCGAAATTTGAAATGCGCGGCTCAAACACAAAGAAGGATCCACACAATGAACACACAGGACAAGCTAGAGCTAACAAGGGCCGCAGTTGTTAGTTATTTGTGTGTGAGCAGCACGCCTCCGGAGCAAGCACGGCTGCGAGTGAAGTGACCTTATGCTCTCAATAACAATAGAGTTCTAGCTACTACTCAGCAGGTATAAAAAACGCCTGTCTTTAGGCACAAGACTCTAGTGAAACGATTAACACAGGTCACTCACCACCACACTTGATCTCACACTCCGTTAGCGTTGGGAAGTTGTTGGCGTTGCCCTGGCAACCTCCGTAGATGAACTTCTCGCAAGTGTCGGTGGTCGTGTTGTAGTAGTAACGGGGGATGTGACCACGGCACGGGCCAACCTCCTTGGGCAGCTCACAGACTGGGCCAATGGTCACTGCGAAAATTCGGTCAGCAGAAACCTGATCTGCACTTCATGTTGCTAAAAGTTATTGCATTTAGTCATTTAAGAACACGACCTGGCTAGTGATTCTAATACACGCTGAGGCCACTTTTGACTACATTTACTGCCGTTTGCATAACTTGGCAGCTTTTTGGCAGTTCTTTTTTCAAACTGCTTGGCTATTTTTTATCTAACTAGCCTGGTGACCTTGCCAATGATTGGCTAGTATGTAACCAAAAGCAGCGAAGATATACCATTTGCTTGAATTTCTACATCTATTCCATAATTGTCTCTAAGGGGCATTTAACATACTACATTGCTGAAATAATTTTACATCATGACAAATTATTGAAAGACTGCTGAAACGCAAGCCGCATAGGTAATCAACTATCATTCGCAATACTGAAGGTGGCAGTTTGGACTTACCCAGTTTGGTGATAAGCCTGGATCTGATCAGCTCATCGGTGAGTGAAATGTCTGAAATGAGAAAAGAAGCAGGGATGTTGCTACAACCGCAACCTCTCTAAAAAAAAAAACACACATAGGCAATAAACAGTCCCAGAAAACGATAGAGTTCTATACAATAATACTATAGAGTTCTATACAATAATCACAGTGTCAGGAATCTGACGCTGCGATTGTGTAGCCAATGAGAATTATGGGAGATACAGCCTTCGGATTTGATAGTATTGCCTACTGCACTGCCTATAGATCTTTTTCTACAGTGCCAGTTTTGTTCTTCGCGCGGCGCGAGTTGTGGGGTTCAGTATAAAACGCCGAAGCAGTGCCTGTGTTGTTTTAAGAGGCTGAAGACCACTAGGTTTTTTTTTTTTTCATTTGTTGTGACGTTGGAGCTTTACGAGTCGTATTTGACCGTTTAAATAAAGCGTCGTCTACTCACCACAGCGAATAGATGTAGCGTCTCCTGCCAGTGCAGGATATCACATCGAGTTCATGTTTTTTCACGAGCGCGTCTTGACTAAACTCCTTCGAGTCGACTGCAAAACGACGGCGAAGCTAAGCAGACGCACCATTACGCTCCTCTCATTTGACTTTACATTAAAACTAGAGGTGCGCTTGGGGCAGAGAACTTGAACAGACGCGCCTGGCATCGCAGCAGACGAAACGATTGTGTTCCTCACATGACAGTGTACTGTTATTTCCATGAATAGATATTGCTACTTTTTAGCGAAAAACAAGCACGTTTGTTGTGAAGTTCTTCAAAAATATTTCATTATATCTTGACACCAAATCTGGAGTGAAATGGCAGAGTGATGCACCTCAGAGTGGTTAAGTTTGTCTAGTCTCCACTTTTACCTCATGATTACAGCAAACTTTTTGCGATAAAGTTTACGTAAAAAAATGGAAGCAGTTTCAATTGGATATTGAAACCTTTTCCCATCACTTTTTCCCCCCTCTTAGCAAATAATTGTTGCGAATCTCAAGGACGTAATTCATCTGAAGCAGATCCGAAGCCAGTACTTCCCATAATTTCCATAATGGTACACGCGCCACAGAAGAAGCCCTCGTAGACACTAGCTCCAGATTTCCCTCAAGGCATTGTTGTATGAAACTGTATGCAGGAAACCATAAATACCCTCATTTCAATTTTCGGAAGTATTCAGAGTTCCGTCGTCAAGCTATACTTCCATGACACCACTAGATATTGGTTACGCAGCAGATGCGAAACTATAAACTGACGCTTCGGCACGTTGTACATGCACTGAGACAATAATGATAGCTGGGCGAGTTGGCACTAAACTTACGACACAATTGAGAACGCTCAAACGGGTAGGACGTAGCGTACCAAACGCCACAAATGCATTATGTCTTGTTTGAGCAAAACAAAACTACATATACATGTCTAAATGTATCACCACTTCCATCATTTATTGCATGCAGGTTCGGGCGCATAAAATTGTCTCAGAACTAAGCTTGCGCAGTTAGAATGGCCTTTTAGTTGGAATGTAAGAACCCAGTTGTTCGGCGCAGCAACTCAGCTTGCCGGTCGTAACTAGACTGCTACATCTTAATAAGCCCCTCTTCATTGTGTGATTGTTGCGTTGCACTAGTTTATTTCTGATACACAGCCACTGCGCAGTTTATATATATATATATATATATATATATATATGAGAAAATTTTCTAATATTCTGCATTCTCGCATTTGCTTATACCAACAGCTGACCTTAGCCGAATATTAACACTCAATCCGCCCCCGATTCCCACCTTGTCTCGTGGTCGGAACTTTTGGCGACCGATGACCACGAAGATTCGAGGTGATTTTTCGTAGGCACGTTTGTACTCACTTCCGCACTTGGTCTGGCACTTGCGCAGCGTTTCGAAGTTGTTGGCGTTTCCGTTGCATCCTCCGTAAATGAACTGCTCGCAGGTGTTGGTCGTCGTGTTGTAGTAGTAGCGGGGGAAGTAGCCGAAGCAGGGTCCCGTCTCCTTCGGCAGGTAGCACGTGGAATTCTTGAGCGCTGAGGGAGTAAAGGAAAGCCAAAAAGCGTTGACAAAACCGACACCAAGTGGACGAAGCAGTGTAATGTGGCCCCGGCGGAGCGCCGCGTTGGGTGTGAAATGAACAGGAAAGGTCACCATATAGAATTACTCAGAGTTACCGCTGTAAGGGCGTGTGAGCGTAGGAGGCCTGTAGCCCATGACATAATTGAACGAAAGAAGGGTCATCACATGCGGCAGCTCATTGCTTTTTTTTTTGTTATATGAAAAACATTTATTACCTCAAACTACACACAAGAATAAAACGCAAGGAACTGCTTTTGCAGCGAGCAGGTGGCGCTTCAGCAACATCCTCCTATTAGGCGAATATTCCTGCGCAATTATTACACCCACACAATATATATCCGTATCGGTTAGCTAAATATGTAGAAAAATACCTTTTATATCACTCAGTATGGAAAACGGAACTTTATATATTGAGTGATTGAGTCGATTAGCCCATATTAGCCAACCTAATGTGTTATGAACAGTTCTTAGCACAGCGTCGTCTTCCATCATTTCTCAGCAGCGCTAAAATTATAGAGAAGACAGAGGACACAATGGTGATACTCCTTTCAAAATGACGAATTCGAAATACCACTTCGTTCACGAATCGCCCCAGGCACCATTCATGATTGAAATCATTTCCTTTTCGTATGTAATATCACGCTACAAAATCATGCGCTTTCCCGGCGGGCTTTCTATCGTCCTTGTGATAACGTCACGTTATGACGTCACAAATTTGTCTGTGATTTCGTGATGACGCCATCTTCATTCGCGTGGTTTTATTCAACATTCGTGTCGATGCCTACGCTGCCGACAGTCACTTACCGCGTTTGATGAGGCATTTGAGGGTATCGCCTGCATGGTCTTGATGAGAAACTCACTTTCCTGCGTTCAAGCTTCAGATGTCACTACGAGTATACCCTACGTAAACGTCTGCACTTTCTTTCTTTCCCTGTTGTCGGGTTGTACGCGCAGTTAATACGAACAATGATCACGGGAGAAGCCTTTTTCTAATGCCCTGACTTCGACTATAATAGTTTCGTTTTCTTGCATAAAGAAGGGTCATTGCAAAAAAAAAAAAAAAACCCGAATGTTGCATACATACATACCTGCCTGAGCAGTCAATAAAACGTGCAGATGCCGTGGGATAATTCTGCACTGGCGCGATCGTTAACCAACACCTCAACTAAGCTATTTTAGGTGTAGTTTTGACGCTGGTTTTTCACAGTAAGTTATAAGTATTAGCGCAACGTTCTTCTGAGTAGAATTCGCAATCAATTTTTCGTGAGAACTCACGTTCTGTTTGCGCATGCGGGCTAAAAGGTGTCCGTTTTCTTCGCGATTAGAAAACAGCGTTGTTCCTCTTCATCGTTTTCTCGAGTGCCCTCGATAAGAGTGCAAGAGCACTTCAACACTTTGACCCCGCCGTCCTTCTTCCCCAATCACTTTCTTGCGAGGCACAGCGTAAAACACTGCTTGTCTCGATTTCTATATATCTTGCATTTTACTTGCGCGCCCTCACGTCAAAAAAAGGCAAGTATACGTCGATAGAGCTGATATGAGTCCACATTTTGTGATCCCTCGCAGATAACATTATTATGTAATGTTTGCCGTACCACAACGACGGTATAAATATAAGAGACACCCTATAGTGGAGGGCTCCGAAAATTTGGACCATTTCGCGCGCTTCTACGTGCCCCGACATCGCACATTGCACGGATGTGTGCCCCCTCTCATCCGTCGAAATGCAACTACTACGGTCGGAATCGTGTCCCCCACAGAGTGGAGGTTTCAGTGAATTTAGACTGGTTTAGACAGAAATAAAGAAGAAAAAAAAGGGACACACTTGTAGTATGCAACTGATTAAAAAGAAAAAAAAATGAACGACACGAACAAGTTTGGTGACCGGACAACAGGAACCATCCCTGACGCTAGTTCTTTGCAAAGTGACATTAATAATATTGCCAGCTGGTGTAGAACTTGGCACATGGACTTCAACACTAACAAATGTAAAGTTTTACGTATCTCACGAACTACCGGACCCCCTGCTAACTACATCCTAAATGACGTTGATCTAGAGTCTGTAACTTTGTATAAATACTTGGGGATTCATATAACATCTGACTTGAACTGGAAACATCATATTACCTATGTTATTAACAATAGCAACCGTATGCTAGGGTACCTACGACGCAACTTTAGCCGTGCCCCTCAAGCCGTGAAACTAACCTTGTATAAAACAATAGTTCGTCCAAAACTTGAATATGCATGCTTCATTTGGGATCTTTTTCAACTGAACTTGACTCACTTGCTTGAAATGGTACAGAATAACGCAGCACGCTTCATTCTATCTAACTACCATCGCACTAGCAGTGTTACGTCAATGAAACACAGCCTTTCACTACAGTCACTTGAATCACGTCGCAAAGCATCTCGTCTCATACTTTTTCACAAGATATTCAATCATCCACTTTTGAAAGCTCAGTTCATTACCACTCCTGTCTATTACTCAGCTCGTTTAGATTATCAACATAAGGTACACGTCATTAGCTGCCGCACTAACACTTTTCATCATTCCTTCATCCCACGCACATCCAACGACTGGAACCACCTTCCCTCGGACATGGTTTCCATGTCAAATCATAACTTGTTTTCTTCCACAATACAGGAGTACTTACGTGATGACGCGTGAAGTGTATATTGTACATTTATATTATTGCATTCTGTTTCCTCCATGTTTCTGATGGTACTTACACATACATCCAGTGTATTGCCTAACATCAAATTTACATGTCTTGTAATCTTTATCATTTTGACGTCACTATGTTTCTCTTGTTCATAGTTTATTATTTTCTCGTACCCCACTCCCCTCTGTAAAGCTATGTGCGATTGAGGGTAAAATAAATGAAATAAAATGAAATGAAACAGGAACCATCATGAACAAGAACCATCACAGAAAGAATAAGTATGATAGGTTACTGAATCCCGGCTGTGGCGGCTGCATTTCCGATGTAGGCGGAAATGTTGTAGGCCCGTGTACTCAGATTTGGGTGCACGTTAAAGAACCCCAGGTGGTCCAAAATTTCCGGAGACCTCCACTACGGCGTCTCTCATAATTAAATACTGGTTTTGGGACGTTAAACCCCACATATCAATCAATCAATTAGGTTACTGAATAAACATCGATACCTTGCAGAGGAACAACTTTGTTTTCATGCTCCGAATATTCGCGTTATGTTTGCTGTGACATCTCTGCATTTACATTGAGACGAGATACACGCGCCTCACTGGGTCATCGAGCGCGTATCTTTTCTTACCTAGAAGGCGAAAATGTTGTAAGCCCGCGTGCTCTGATTTGGGTGCACGTTAAACAACACCAGGCGGTCGAAATTTCCTGAGCCCTCCACTATGGCGTTTCTCATAATCATATGCTTGTTTGGGAACGTTCAACCCCGGTTTTATTATTATTATTATTATTATTATTATTATTATTATTATTATTACAATGGCTTACCAAGAGACTTATCAAAATTCCGTGAAGCGTGCAACGCTGCGACACAGGCTCTTCATAAGCACACTCTATATAAACTACCTCTACGCTCAGGTCAGCTCAAATAAATGTCCAGCTTTAACAAAATCGTGTACATAATGACGCAATCGAATGCGTGAATGCGCATGCAGTGTGGAAGGAAGAGCTAAATGTTCTACTAGACTTGGTTTGCTGCTAATCTTCGCTATTCTAAAGAAATGGTTCTTGAACGACATTCATTTCAGTAGCTGCCTCGAACAAATCAACAGCAAGCACACTTCAGTAGTAATAAATAAGGTAAAAAATGAAGGAATCTGAAACTTACAATGTCTGTTTCTTTTCTAGCTCACTTAGACAGCGACAAGCATAAAAAAAAGGAGGAAGTTGCCAACATGCAGAATTGTTTCTCACAAAAAAAAAGCTGTTTTATCGACTTACGAGTTCTCAGCTGCAGGAGCCTCTCCGTGACGTTTTGATATCCAACCTCTGCAAATAAAAAAAGCTGGTGAATAAGAATGAATGAGAGGACGCGCCTCCAAGAGGACCATGACACCGAATTTCGAATATTAAGGTCAATTGCCTGGGATAATTTTTTTATGGGCTCACAAAAACAACATGGCAAATACTGAGTAGTTTATTTGCAAACCTAATGTATAATAAAAAATACTTCAATAAAAGCGCGAAGCAGCCTGAGAATCAGGTCATAGAGGAGAACTTGCGAGTAGTAGTGTAACGAGCTTGTAGCACCAGGTCGTACGAGACGGACACGTCTTTTCAGTAACAACGCCTACTTCATTGTCATAACCAGAGAATCGAAAATAGAGCGGGTGCACGCAGTGCACTAGAAGTGGTAAGAGTGAAAGAGACGAAGGAGAAACGGAGAGGAGAGCAGCACGTTGCTTCAAGTGCTGCTCCGCAGGTTTTTATGGCCGCGGTGTGCGCTCGGTGGCGGCCGTTTCACTACAAGCTGATTTCTGCGCGAACGGCTTCCGTTCCAGGGAACAATTTCGTTCCGTGGTCAGCTGCGCGTTCCACAGCATCCGAGGAGTCGACGGGGTTGGTGCCGTTTCTTCGGCGTGTCTGTTCCGTGCATTCTTCGAGGCTGTTCGCATCGAGATCGCTGTCACTACCAGGACAGCGAGGGTCATTCGTCAGCAAAAGAAATCTTCCGTGGCTGCCCGAATTCTGAATAAGACGCGCGGCTTCATATTTGTGCGGTGTCGTGGACAATTCGCAAAACGCAAATCAATCCCGTTTACCGTACACCACTGCAGTGGACTGAATTGTTCGTGGGCAGTGAGATATTCTCCGGCAGCCCGATTTTCGTATGTGTATAGGCACGAGGGACCTTCCTCCCCTACTTTTCGCATAAAACCGCAAATTATCGGGTGGCCGTGTTACGGCCTATATAGGCTGTTGTCGACAAGAATATGTGTTCAAATGAAAGTAACAATGCGTTAAAGTATGGCACGAACAAATCTGGTAAAAAACAAAACCGTACCGCGAAATTAGGCCAGTAGCGATTTGTTACATGCTTGCGTTCGTAGAAACCGAACGGACGTGTAGAATGATACAATTTCTCGTATCCCAAAATCTAGATTGAAATTGTGTGAAGTAAGAACACGCAACTGCTGATTCAATTTACCGGGCGAATATTATTAAACTTACTTCATGCTAAAGAGACAGGGCGTGCAAATATAGAGAGAAGACATGAATGAGACCCGGAACGGCGTTTGTGGTGTCTTGACTTTCGTCATTCCTCCGCGCTTAAACGTCTTGCCTTTTTAACATGGATACCTTACCAAATAGCAAAACTATCTGTCAAGAGTAAGAAGTGACACGTAGGTAGCACGTGGTTAACTTGACTCTTGCTTAGGAACAGGCGATAAGGAGGAAGTAAAGAAAGAGGAAGGAGAGAAAAGGCAGGAAAGTTATTCAGTTCAACATTGCTTGTATGATTCTCTGCCCAGAAGAGTGATATGGAGTAGGTTGAAAAAAGAGTAACGAAAGAGAGAGAATTCTCGTATGACGTCACATTTCGGCCGTCTTGTGGGTATACCGTATGATCATCTACCCATCGCTGTCTAAAACGAGGAACATGCGATGGCAGCATTCAAAGAAAGCGATCGAAGGCACATACTCTTGATGGCAGGTTCAAGCGGGAAAAGAAGTGGCGACTTGATCTGGGCATTTCGCAATGACGCGGATAAACATCAACCACGAAGAATGGTAACTCTTCTTCAAAAAACAGACATTTCTCTGCTTCAAGACAGCCTATTGCAACACTGCTGGGCCGAAACTATAGGAATTGAGTGGCTAGTGCGCAGTTTCTTCACCACACAGTCAAGTGTCAAACAATTGAAACCTGAATCTAACACCTTCTATAGAGACCGAATGTAATGTATACCACTTACTGCAGGTCTTTAGGCACACTTCCAGTTCGGGGAAGTTGTTGCGGTTTCCTTGGCAGCCACCGTAGATGAAGCGTTCGCAGAACTTGGTGGTCGTGTTGTAGAAGTAGCGAGGAACGTAGGCCCTGCATGGTCCCACTTTCTTGGGCTCGTAGCACACGGGGTTTGTGGGCTCTGCGCATGGCACATTGGAAGTAGAACGAACTCTCATGTATCGTAAGTTCAGACATTCTACGTCTTCTCTGAACCAAAATCAAGCCCTAATCGTCATCACCATCATCTACTTTTTATTTCATTTTAGCATAATTTAGGGACATTGCAAAAGAGTACGTTATGAGATAAAACTTCTTCGGATGTCAAAGCATTCGTATTACCAAGATTTCTGCTATAACGCGGCGCGCGTTCGTTCCTTGTAATTTGGCGAAACAGTTTACAAATCATTCGTGTGCATAGATTATTGCAATGCCACATCGCACGTAGCAGATCAAGGTTGCATAATTTATTAAAAAAATAATGAGGACGTCGCAGTGCAATCCGTTACAGTGCACTTGTCAGAGGAGAGCCTCGTTGCCGTGATTCACAGCGTGATTAAAAAGCATGGGCTGATTTTGCATAATCTTAGTCAGAACAGTGTTTGTTTCGTTTAGCAATTGAATTGATTTATGGTATTAAAACGGTCTGGTGCCTATTTTGTCCACCTTTGTGGACAAAAACATTTGGTCAATCGTACAGTACCGTTCGCGGTTAAACGAAACACTCTAAATAAAGAGCACCTGTCATGGTGTGGGCTTATAATTGCAAATAGACGTAGAAATATTGTTCGTGCATGCCACTAAGTCTATCGAAAAGAGTCAGGACTATCAACTGACATGCATACCACAACTGATATCATCAGTTGTGGTATGCATGTCTAAGCCACTATACTTTTGCGAGGAAGTGAAATACAGACATGACGTACATGAGAGTGTTCCCTTTAACTGGGAACCCGTCTACAGCTTTGTATCGAACATGTTTCACTGTATTGCTGCCAGGTACCTACCAAAGAAGCGCACAGTAATGCATTCATACGTACCAGGTTCCGACTCAAGGAGTGGTATGCCAACGCTGTGCCTCACATCTGCAAAAATAAAGCAGTTTTCTGGTTAGTTACGATTAACAGATTACAAGTAGAATAGCACTTCATAGACTCACGATAGTTTCTGTTTTTGTAATGTTCCGAGTACGAATGCTTAAGGACGACAATCTTGCTTAGGTGACATAAATGTAAGCTGAATCAGTTAGTAATAATGCTATCTGCTTTTGATCCCCTTGTTCCTTTTCCGGACTTCTGATGATGAGCATCTGTAAAGTATATGTATCACATACTTTCACGCAGCTTGTGAACTGGGTAAATATTATGCATTATGAACCCATAACTTCTTGCTTGAAGCGCCGCCTCGTTGTCGACATAGTGTTAGTTGTACTCAGCTTGTAAAACAGGAGCGCTGCAGTAAAGCGTACGGGCATATATGATCATAAGTCAGCGGGAAAAAGCCCGCAGGTCACAAACCTATTCAGGCCGATAAATGAGAAGACCATGATGTGGTCAACCATGAATGAAGTTTGACAATCCTAGCCTCAAGACATTGTCTCTACGAGAGCTTCTTAACTGTCCTGCAGTGGTTGTCACTGGTGTTAATAGGGCTTTCCTGATTTGCGGATGTCTTTTCGTCCTGCAGCTGATCAGGAAGTCATGGTTCACATGCCACATCTCTCCGTGTTTTCTGATCGATGGCACTTCTACGTTTCGAGAATAGGAGTTAGCGCTTAGCAGCTTAGAAAGACAAAGATCAAGATGACATAGCCAACGGAGCAATTTCAAGATCAAACAACCAACAATCAGAGCTCCTGTAAACTACCAACTACCCGAAACAGACCATTCGAAGCCCTCTTCGATCTTTATGAAATTTGTCCCGTCAGTACTTTGTCACAAGAGGACTTACTCGAGCCGAATGAATCCTGCTATATTAAATACTCGATCAGCCTGCACTTCCGCATGGTTATTTGAAGTCAAGAACGCCCCTCACCGCTGTGCATTGAATGCAATGAAGTTGCGGATATTCAGGATGCCTCTGATCCAGCAAGCGTTTTTGGCTCTGATAGACATCATTGGGCAGTGTGAAGAAAGGAGGGTTTCCCTATGCATGCCTGCGAAGACGTGTTGCTGGCAGGTACGTTGTTGAGGCGAAAGCAAGTAATCACTAACATACTTTTGCGTTTTCTATGAGAGACAGGATCAAGTGATGTATGATGAGCAGAAGTACATGGAAGAAGTTGCTCAGGCGGGGGAATGGCAGGCCAGGTCTGGCAGGCTAACCCCGCCTATGGCAACGTCATCACCAGCACAAACTAAAATGACGTCGACGATTTTGTACAAATAGTATTGAACCCGTGAAGCAAGTCTTAAGGATCGTTTGCCGGTCAGTATAGATTTTGTGGATCAAGTGTGTAACATGGTTCAATAATTCAAGCGTGCGAATCGCTACAGATCTCAAAGTATCAGCTGAATGAATTTTCAATTTATCGCTTGTATTGTACGTTTCAATATGCGCATGACCGATATGATCAGAGAAATGCAGTTTACTTCACCGACTCCCCAAAGTACAGCGAGCTTTGTCTTAACTGTAAAGTAGCGCAAATAGACACAGACGAAAGGAAGGCACACTAACACTCAGACGAAAGCGCTTCTAGCAGCAAGTTTTCTATTGAAAATCCACCTTCAATATGTACATCCACCGCCCCTCCCTTTTTTTTTTTGGACACGTAAAAATCTCAGTGCATTGATGATTTCAAGAACGCCATTTCTTTCTCTGACAACCCTATCGATGGCGTGCTAACACATTTGTATCCTTCCAAATGTGACCGCCACGAGTGTCATCGAACCTGCGGCCTTCGGACCAGCAGCCGAGCACTCTATCCAGTGTTCCACTGAGGCGGACAGCTGTGTGTATACATATAGCCTTGTTATTAAGTTATGCTATCACAGTGGTAACAGAACTCTATATTTGCAGGGTTTTAAGGGGTTTTTTCGTGCAGTGAACGAGAGGATTTCTCGGCGTCGACTCACGGCACGTCCGGCTGCACTCGGCCAATGTCACGAAGTTGTTGGCGTTGCCTTGGCAACCACCGTAGATGAACTGTTCGCACTGCTTTGTCTCGTTGTTGTAGTAGTAGCGTGGCATGTAGGCGAGGCATTGCCCACGCTCCTGGGGCAGATTGCACACGGGATTCGCGGGGGCTGCGGCGAGAGAGAGAGATAGAGAGATTTTATTAGAGTTCTCCTATTCTCAAACCCGTAGAGCATTTCTTTAGATAACGCGACAGATTCCAGCTGGGTGGACGATAAGGCTGACCCAGTGACGTTACCCGCATGAACAGCTGGATTATTTCCGTGCAGTCTATACGCAATGTACATAAATATAAAGAAGCCTAACAGTTTTAATGTTCCGACAAAGGGATACAAACTCCGGGCCCACAGTCAGTGCCGAACCCGCACACGCTTTTCTACATCGCGGGCGTATTTTGTGAGGCACACTAAAACACCTTTAGAATTTTCCACCTGCAACCATGCATCTTGACTTCATTGATACTGGGCCATTAGCCAAAAGCTGGCGGAGTGTTGTCCACTTTTATTCTCAGGTATTTGGGACACCTCGACGAGGCGCCATCTCTCGGCAGCAGGAACGGTGACCTGTCATAACTAAATGGGAAATAGGTGAGAAAAATTATATCTATTTAGAAAAGATGGTTATCCAAAACTGACTCCAGGTTATATGTAGAAGAGACTCACTGGTACATAGTGTTAAAAGTACAGTATTGCACTACAAAGTGTGAGGCTTCCCAGGACAATTGAACACCGACCATGGAAGCACATGGTATTAAATTGTTAAATATTAAACGCTGTGGGAAGCCAGGCAGTTTATTGTGCGACACTGTAACGCTTCCAGGCAGTTCAAATAAGTTTCTGTTGCATAAAACTCGAATCGTTTTTTGAAAACTACTCTTTTGGTCCGATAAGATTTTTTTTCTTTCTTTTTTTTACATGGCAGGCCGCTGGCGTCGCCAACGAGAGGTGGCGCTCCATGCACGTGTCCCCAAATCCTGGTCACGTCGTATTGTGAAACACGAGGATAATAACTGAAACCAACCAACTTGAACAGTGATTCCTTAGTGCATCTCTCCAATTTAGGTACTACTTCTGGAGACCCATATATATAGGGCCAAGCAGAAGGGGCAATGAAAAAAGTACAGTGATACAATGCCACGACACTAGACCACATAATTACAAGAGCACCTAATGCACAATGTTACGGCACGTAATAAGTGAATAAAAACACCCATAATCAGCGGAAGCGTACAAACATTTCATTCAGGTGCTGCCAATACATGCCATGAAAATACGTCCTACAATACATCAAGTCACAGCATATCCACAGAGGGAAGATGATTCGTGGGGCGAAGCGTTCGTGAGTTCGTCAGTGCTTGCGTCCGTCCATTCGTTATTGCTTCCGTCCATCCATGCATCCGTCCGTGTGTCCGTTCATCCGTGTGACCGTCGGTGGGTCCGTGCGTCCGTCCATGCGTTCGTCCTTTTCTTCGTCTGTCCGTCCGTTCCTCTGTCTGTCCATCCGTCCATCCGTGCATCCGCCACTCTGTCTGTCTGTCAGCCCGTGCGTCCGTCAGTCCATCTGTCCATCCGTCTATCTAGCGGACACTCCAAGTACTGCCATTTCACATCTTTTCCATTTTTGTCTTCATTTTTCATTTTCATCTCACATCTCACAGTTTCATTCATCATATACAAGTACCGCCATCCAGCGGACATTCTAAGGATCGCTCTTTCGTGTATGTGCTACCCGTGGTTACGCACTACAACGAAGGGACGCACGAGCCACGCCATAAGAAACTTCACCCCTAAAAAGAGTGTCTAGATATTTTCTAATACTGTCGTGCTTAAAAGCACTTGTTGGCATGGAATTCAGTCCGCAATAGTCCCTAGAGAAGAAGTACTAGTAGTAGCCCTAGTAGAATCAAAATAACAGGCGCGAATGAATATTTAGGTTGCCTCGAGTCACTGGACTATTCTCCAACACTACATCAACTTGACTTAATAAAGGGACACTAAAGTCAAATAAAAAATTACGTGAGAGTGAAAGCTCAATGTATGACAACGTCGAAAACTACGATATTATCAACAGCAGTGCCTTACTTACCGAGAAATTAAGGCACGAGAACACATGCGCCGCAGTAAGACATCCGCAAAACTATACTGATGATGTCAGAGTTACAGCCTAAAATTTATTACTAGTAATCAAACTAGCTGCCCTAAATAAAGAACCTTCCGTACATCAAGAGACGTAATAAAATGCTGCTTGTTTGTTTTTTGAGTCATGAGAAAGAAAAACCATCGAACGTCATTATAGGGATTGACGCGAGTGGTTCAAAAGTCTCATTTTCTTCTAGTTAAACTGGACAGATGGTGCCATCTAACTGGGTCCAGTTGAACCAAGTCCGTTTGGCATCAGAGAGCCAATGGCAGGAAATCGTTGAATGGCCGTTGTTGCTACTGTTGCTCCCGCTGCTTTCGTTCTGCTTCTACTAGTGTCGGGGGCCGCGTAGTAAAGCCGGGCGACGTTTTGCACGGCAACAGTGAGGTGAGACGTCCTGTGTGATGGGGGTAATTTGAAGTGTGCCATCCCGATTCGGGCCACTGCAATGTGATTTTTTTTTATTACAGCGAAAGCTGACATGAGATCAGAACACACGCGCGGCACCGCAATCGTCTGCGGTCGATGCCGTCAGTGCCCGCAACCGATATCGCAATAAAAAAGAAAAAAAAAGTTAGCTAAATACGCCAGGCCTGCGCGGTACGCGCAGCACAGTCACAACGAAAGCTAGAAAACTTTCAGAGCCTTCTCAAAACGCCCACTTGCTTGGTACCCACTAGGGCATTAATAATGAACTTTTGGTTAGTAGGCCGGCATTCGCTATGCTACTTTTCGTTATTCTTCTGAGAAGCGTGGTATCCGCTAAACACTTGCAAGGAATTTTGTGCCGATTGTCCATGCAGTGGCTGACGACGACGAGGAGCTATGGCTGAAGTGGGTATGCGCCACAGTTAATAGGGCAACAACAACAAGCCTTTGTAATTGGGTTGGAGCATTGGACGGCCCTCTCGTTACGCTATTAGCATTGCGCGACGCCTGCTTGTTCTTTCGCTGTTGTAAAACGCTTTATAAGTCGTATTAACGCGATTGCTTTCCCGACATCAAGCCTGCCTAAGGCATATTTGAAAACAAGTTACAAGCACAGGTGTACCTTAGTGGTAGCATACTGGGTATGCTACCACTAAGGGCAGCATCACAGCGGTAGCATCACAGCGAAGTCCGCTCTTCGGGCTTTCGCTGTAAGAGTGCGGCGTGCTCCACGCAGGCCTGTAGTTTTTTTTTTCTTTAATAAGCACTTTCCTCACACACAATTAACACTACGAGGTTTCCAAACCACTATTTCAACAATCGACGTTGACGTAATACTTGCCATTAGTGTCCCTTTATTCATTTATTAATCATGTGTTTTATCCTAATCATATTCCTAATCATTGACTACTTATTCACTGTCAATTCTATGAGCTGAGATAATGTATTGACACGCACATAAGGTGCATGAATGGATTGGAACGCCAAGCCGTAAGCTGGTCTGATTTAAGTGAGTCTCCTTCCATTTCCCCCCCCCCCCCCCTGGTCCAGTGTATAGGAAAGAAATATGCACATCTTCATGAAAAGAATGATGACGAGTAGGCGAAGCTATGTCTTCAGGTCCGTAATGTCTACGTTGAAGTCGTCGAATAAACTAAAGAGCTTGTACAGGTATAGGCGCTTTGTGTTGTTCTGTTACAGTTAGGATTGATATTTGTGTATTGTTAGGCCTTTTTTTGTCTTACTTATGTTACCCTAGTGCTGCCCCATGTAATGTAAGTTAGGTGGCATAAAGTGACATGCAGAGTCGACGGCAAAGCTAGCTCGTAAGGTCCATAACCTCTACGTTGAAGTCCCCGACTAGTATTAAGGGTGTTTGTACGTGCTTTATATTGCGTTGTCACACTTACGATTGCTATTGGTCTACCATTGCACCTTTTTAGATGCGAAGCTTCTTATGGTCGAACTCAATCTGGCGTGCGGCGTCACCACCATTTCTGCGGATGCGTGTCCCCAACACCTCTCTCTCTCCTCTCCTACGCTCGCTTCCCCTCTCTCCTCTAGGCCTTCCTGCGTCGTTCACATCCCTGTTGCGAATGCGCGCCCGCTCCCTCTACTTTCTTACGCTCCTCCTCTCCCACCTCGCTACGCTGACGCAGGCAGCGCTTGCTAGTCAGTGCTCGCACCCCTCTATTTCCTCTAGGCATACGTGGTGGTGGTGGTGGTGGTGGTTGTCATTAGAAGAAGGAAAAGACGCCTAATTTCTGCAGCCCGTTAGGGAGCAAGGCATACGTCCCTGCGCTGTTTATACCCCATTGCGCATGCGCGTCCGCTCTCTCTCCTCTCCAACGCTTCCCCTCTCTCGCCTCGCAACGACCACGATGGCAGCGTCTGCTAGTCTACGCTCGTCTTCTCTCTCTCTTCTAGACCTCCTTCCCGGTGGCGTTTACACCCATATTGCACATGCGCGCCCACTCCTCTCCCATTCTACCCTTCCCTTCTCTCACCTCTCAACTCCGACACAGACAGCATCTGCTAGCGTGTTTCTTTATTGAAGAAAAAAAAACAGGCCGCTCGCGCTACACAATCGTTCACTGGTCACCCGGTGGCGTAAACCTAAAACCGTCTGCGGTCTCTGTGTGCAATAGAAGTCCTCTGTCTCTCATTGCCACTAGCAGTGATTGGCATGTTCCAATAGGAAACACCTGTCCATCAGTGCGTGCTTTGCGCCTTCCTGTAAGCGTTAGCACCCGCTGATTCGCATTTATGCATGGTTGCCTTTAGCGGAAGATGGTGTAATTTTTTTGTACCTATCATACACCGTTAGCCACTCGAACGTTGTCCCATCTAATATAGCTGCGGAAATCGGACGTTGTCCCGTCTAATATAGCTGCGGAAATTGTACAAGACCCTCCCTTAAGGTGCTTCGCCCTTAAAACAAGCCCCGCCGAGAATTCAAAAAGAAAAATGATAAGATGACGTGCTTATAACAACAGTATGTCATTTGTACCCAGTTGCAACTATTCGAATACAATAAAAATAGTATTCAACTTACTCTTCCAGTCCAGCTCTTGGGATGCCACAGCGTACTCTTCCACACGCTCTGCGTAAAAATAAATTCATTTATTAAAACAAAATACGAGCCTTGAGGTGAGGGTTGCTTTGATTCCCCTGAATGTCCATGATTTAGAGAATGTGTCATAAACCTACAAAAAGCTTAATTTCTCTGCTGTCCCAGTTCTCTTAATTATCAACTCTGTCTTTATTACCACTCACTTATTAACTGTCCCATTGTCCTTCGCTGCATGTACAATGCTACGTTCTGTAGAGTATCTGTTTTACTTGCAATAAATGCAGCCCAGGCAGTTGCACTCAACCAGAAAGCTGTAGGAAGCGCGCAGCGGCGATTAGCCTGTCATTCGGCGACGCTGGCATTCATGGCAAGTGCGGGCTGGCGTTACAAACCTACAACCTCCTCGGTTTCCATGGCAGAAATGGAAACCGACGTGTGAGGGGGCCACGGAGACAGAAGTATTTTCTTGCTCCTTGGAGGGGGGGGGGGGGCAGTGTCAGTCTTTCCACTCTTTTTCTTCCTACTTACTCGCCTTCCCCACCCTCACCTTCCTTTCCCACACTGCTATGGTGCGTTTTGCCCAATCCTCTTCGTATCTGTTCTCCTTCACTCCTTTCTTTCTTTCGTTTATTATTTATTTCGTTTTACAGAAACAAGAGCAAAAGATAAAGGCCATATGGCCTGACAGAGGCTCTTACTCCTTTTCCCAATCCTTGCTGTACTGTGCAAGACATGGCTATACCTCGATTTACCCTCGCCCTCCTTTTCCTCTCCTCCTCATAATCACGTGTCTTCTTCTCACTATGGCTATCCATCTCCCCCCTCGCTTTGTACTACCGTAGTTTACACGCATATGCTATGCTTCAATTTCCCCTCCTCCTCATTTACATCTCTCCTAGTCAGTCCTTGCTATACATTACTACCTATGGATACGTCATACTATATCAGGCTATGCTATGCTGATGTTTACCCTTTTCCTTCCTTTTTTCTCTCCTTCTCACCATCCTCTCCCTCCTCGTCCTTCTTTTCATTCATGTCACCTGTTATAGGCTATTACTTTAATCTTATTTTGTTTGATGGTTTGAATACTAACATGCCATTCAGTTCTGTTGTGTTTTATTCAGTGATGTTTTCTTTTGAATAATGGAAAGTCTTTTCACAATTTGTGCTTGTTATTTTAGCTTGTTTTACGTCATTATCTCACGCGTATACTCATATGATGTTCGTTGCCGTTCTATTCCTATTAAAATTATTATTAATATTTTCTCATTGTTGTTCCTGCTAGGACTTGTATAATAATTGACATTTAGTGCATGTTATTGTTAGTATGGAAGTTGTACCAATTCATGTTTGTATTCCTTTTATACTCCCCTTACACAATGCCCTGTTGGGTCTGTAAGGTATTTTGAATAAATAAATAAATAAATAAATACATGGCTGTGCTATGCATGCTTCTGCCTGCGTGATGCCGTACAAGGTTCTACTTTACATCCTTTACCATCTCTTGCCATTCTTTTCCTTTTCCTCAGCCTCACTTCCCTTTTCCGCCCCCTTGCTATACTATCCTATGCAAGGTAATCGTACGCAATATTTTGCTTGCGTGTCGCCAAGCGACGGCATCCAATACCAGATGATAGCAGATGACATCAGACACGATACGACAGCCCAGACTACTTAATTGCTCCGCACTTCAAGGCGCCGTATGTGTGCACTGTTTTACAATTGTATATGTCATAAGCCCATTCACAAAGCCTTCATAGAAAGTGGACTCTTCGGAATTATGAAGCACATGTCCATAGAGCGTGCCTTGTGTTAGTCTTCGCCTTGTACAAGTCAGTTTCCCCTATAGAGAAGTCAGTTCTAGATTAATCAAGACGAATTAGCCCACCTGTCACTTACGTTATCATTAAAACAGCCTCATGGTAATCTGGTGCGAACACATTACCTGCTCGTACGCGCTTGCAAGTCTCTTCGCAGTCTTTCTTGGTGAGGTACTTGTTGTCATTGCCGTCACAGCCACCGTACGTGAATGTCTTGCACTCGCCAACCTTGGGGTCGTAGGCCCAGAGGATTGCGTGTGCCCTGCATGGCCCGGTCTCAGCCCTGGCGAGGCACTTGGCTTCGTACTCAGTTGCAGCTGAGAAAAAAAAATCACCTACGTTAAAACACCGTGAACGCGCCAAAAAGGTCCAAGCTACGCATTGCATATGAGCCATGCTTCAATGCTCGTGTACTCACAATAAACCATTATGAATGTGCACCAACTTTTACGTGGCTCAGCGCCTTTTACAAGCGAAGCAACTTATGGTGTAGTTGATTCCGGTGTGCGGCATCACCACCCTCACGGCGCATGCGTCAACTCACCCTTCTCTTCTCGCGTGAACGCGAGGAGGTTGGAGGAGGTGGCAGAGCGCCACCCCCGCTTCGTTTTCCCTCCCCCGTTTATCTCTCCGCCATAGCTGTGCGCTAGTATATAATTCTGCGCGCGCTCGCGCCGGTGTGCTCTCCTAGCAGCGCTGAGTGTTCGCTTAGCGGCAACACCATTGTTACACACAATGATAGGAGGGGGGGGGGGGGGTTAACAGAAGCGGTCAACAACATATACGCAACTCTACAGTGGTATGAAACATACACGGAAGTATACAAATGGAAACTAATGGGAACAGAAGTGATCAACAGTGCTGGTTCAGATCCCAACATGGTTCCATTTAACGGGAGGTGTAATTTGTTTCATTGCGGAGTCGCCAAAAGTGCAATATGCAGCCCTTTTTAAATTTGCGTACTGCAAGCACTTTTGGCATCTATCTATCTATCTATCTATCTATCTATCTATCTATCTATCTATCTATCTATCTATCTATCTATCTATCTATCTATCTATCTATCTATCTATCTATCTATCTGTCTATCTATCTATCTATCTATCTATCTATCTATCTATCTATCTATCTATCTATCTATCTATCTATCTATCTATCTATCTATCTATCTATCTATCTAGCCGTGTACGGCTGAGTGACCTCGTGATCACCCACTTTACTTTGGGTAAATCTAAACTAGTATGGTGAGGTAACATGACTTGAATACCACTCGCTGGTCATGACGTGCACAATGTCACAACCCCGTCCCGTATGTCGCGAAAGGTTTTTCGCCAGAAACTAGCTACTGATAAGCGGGTATGTGCGACAGGTGATTGACACTTCATATATACCCACGAATGATGAGAACATACATGTATAATTTTAACGCGTGAATGTTGAGACAAAGCGGACATTGGCTGCGTTGTCCCGACGAATTTAAAGCGAAATCGACATGGTCCCAGCAGGAATCGAACCCCAGCATTCTGCGTGCAAGCAAGTATTCTACCATGCAGCCACGCCAGGTCCTGCAATTGTTTTTAAATGAACTGTTGTGTTCGTGAAGCGTCGACTGGGGATGCAGTAATGGTTGTCCAATTTTATAAACGTTTCATATGTACTCCTATGATACAATCGCCCCGTCGGGTGAAGATCAACAGTAATCAAGCACAGTGTACTGAAGGCGACTGGCAATTTAACCAGTTAAGGCAGGGTGCAAACAGACATTGATAATTTTAGTTCGAGAGCTCTAAGAAAAAAAAAACAGGGCATCTCACGAAGTGAATGGTGATGAGTGTGTGGAGCTATAAGTCTTAAGGCGCATAATGTCAATGTTGAAGTGGCCGACTAGTGTAAAAGATGCACAGATATACGGACGGACGCTTGGACAGACATGTGGACACATGCCCGCGCAGACGGAAAGGTCGACGTTCACCGATGTATGAACAGTAGGACGCATGGACGGACGGACGCACGAACGGATGGATGGACGCGTGGATGGATACATGGATGGATGGACAGACGGGCGCGGGTGAGCATGCATCGGGCTGCCTTATAGTTGATTACACATACAGTCGGTTGTTAAGAGATATTGTTTGTTTTTTTTATGCAGGTGTTCAGTTTCAGTTTACGTTTTGTGGGGCGTGATGGTTGCAAACTAGGTCAGCCCTAAGGCGCTTCGCCCCTTAAGGATGGCATCAGGCAGCTTTCACTGAACGAACACATCGAAGATATGTCATGGTCCCAGCAGGAATTCAACCTCAGCATTCTGTAGTGGTAATAAAGTATTCTACCACACCACCACAAGTATCAGAACTACTTTTCAAGTAGACCGTAATGTTCGTTAAACGTAATTTGTGGTTGCAGTGCTGGCTATCTAATCTTATAAAGAGGACATACGCACTGCTATCATGCATCCGTCACGTCGTGTTAACGACAATTGTAGTGATGCGCCATCCACTTAAGCTCGCTTATCTAGCAGTGTCGAGGGCCGCTATCTTCGCTGGCACAAGCGCTACATAGCTACGTATCAGCCTACCACTTCTGGTGTTGCTTACACCTAGGTTACTGTTGGCATAGGTACACAAGACTAAGCATGAGTCTCTTTAATATATGCCTGAGCGTACAAGATTTGCGCATATTTATGGTCATTTCGTAACTGTTTCGCTCAATACAAAATTACAACACAATCACCTTTTCTTCGCGTAGGTTCGCAAAACACTGATTTCCCAAGGCACTGCGAGCTCTGCTGATTTTTTTTTTCTGCGTTTAGGCGGCTACCAATAAAACACAGGGAAAAGGCTGCTACTTGCCATACTTAATCTTCTGCTAATAGGTTTGAAACATCACTGCATTCCCGTGCTGCAATCGCCTACTGGTTGCTTATCACTTTCCGTCTTAGTGAGACGTTCAACAAAGGCTTGAAGGACTGGCTTCAACGAATCCAGAACTTGCCGTGCGCATTCCGCTGATGGAGTGGCGATTGCATTAAGGAAGCGAGCATCATGGCCATGCAGAGACCTCAACAAATCGAGGACTTGTACGGTTTTCGCGTGGAAGTCCTCTGTGTACGATAATGAACACTTCGGGGCATTCTGCCCCGGCTCTGGTGGAAGTTATGCCACCAGAGCCATTGCGCCACCAGAGTTATGCCACCAGTGGCTCTGGTGGCACATTGGTGGCAGTTAGAGCCACACGACATACACCACCACTTTCGCAGCCTCCGCATCATTCTGGCTCTCTGACTGTGATGCATGGGATGGTGGTGGTGGTGGCAGCGGCGGTAGCTGTCGCTTAAGAAAAGAATCGTGAACTGAATCTCGGATTCCACTGTACTTTCAGGCAATTGCGCAGGAATTGTTCTCCTAGTCTTCCCAAGTGTGACTGTGTCGGAAGTGTGCGTGGTCAACGCTCGCACGCATGTGCGCGTATCGCTTGTTTTCGCTTTTCTCCTTGCTTTATTTATTTTTTTCTCTCTTTTCTCACCTGCCCCGTGTAGGGCAGCAAATCAGGTACAATATTTTTGACTTCCGTGCCCTTCCCTTGCTTGTCTTTTTTTCCCAGGCTTGAGATGACGCCTTATACGCTGAAAACATTTTGTAAAGGGCTACAGCATCGTTTGCAAAGCGCCCCAAGCGTCGTTGTTTAAATATTTATCAGTGAGAATGAGGCATGAAGGTTTTTTCACCTCCCCAGACGTCCTTTTTATCTGCGTAAGAAGTAATGTTTGACTTTTTCTAGGCTCTCAGGTAGTTATATCTTGTGAAAGCACCTGTTGCTCGTATGACAGGAGTGCCGGCTGATCGACATTTGGCTTCTAAAAGCGTTGCATATTAGGCGCTTCAGATTGACAGGTTCGCTTTTTCGTGCCACCTAAACGCGTGCCTACAAAAATGTATTTTGGGTACCGTCGTGTTTTGTTTGATACAAAGAACAGTATTAAATTTACTAGCATGGAACAGAAAATGAAGGTATTGTGGCTGTGTATACCGGCTGGTCAGTGTACGCTCTTGTAGTGTCAGTGGCTTGTCTATTTGGAGTTTCTTGTTTTAGTGTGTATAATGGCGTCCGTACGATAAAACGCAATTATAAAATCTAACTGGTGGGGCATATGAACTGTAGTGCAATAAAAATAAATTTAAAAATTAGGAGCTTTTGCAGCGTTTTAGCCATATTCAATTGGTTCCCACAATTGCATCAATGCATATGCTGCACTAGGTAAACGTGCGTGGCAAGCTGCATTGCATTAACGTGCTTCGTCGTGACATCCTCGAGCTACGCTCACTTCGCTGATGTTTTGGGGCCAATTATAAGCGATCAGGTGAGCATTGTTCAACTGTACTTAGAGCGACAGTTACATATTCTAAGCCACAATACTGTACGTACTGCCCCAGTGAGAAGCGGTGGAACAAGAACTGATGCTGGCGCTGACGTTTTGATTCAGGGGACTTATCTTGGTTTTTAACGATTTCTCGTCACTCGAAGTCTTTTCTATTTTCCGCTGAACGCTTGCTGGCGTGTTGATATTATAAGCACCAGCAGAATTCAGAAGCGGGAGGGTAGGTAAGTGCACTCTTCGGCGTTATTATATAATTACAGGAAAAATGAAGCTTGGCAGGTTGTTTCGCGAGTATGACGGGTAAGAAACGAAACAACAGAATGCGTTGCTAGGCTAGTTAGTTCGTAATATTGAAACTTCGATGCGCAAAACTGATGAGGACAGGAAGCAACAATGAAGCGGCCTGTCCTGTGCTTCTGTGTTTTTTCCTGTGCTTGTAGATTTTGCGCATCCTAAGTTTTTAGAGATGGCACATCGCAACCTATTTAAAAAACCTTTAGGGTTATGTAAACGCTTTAGGAAGCAAATCTCGGCCATATGGTACGTTTTATAGGCAACTTAGTCAAAGCGAGCGCCGCACGAGACTACAGTCACAGAAAACTCACAGGGTTCCTCATGTATTCACTGAAGACGACTGGAAAATGAAAGTCAACTCCTTCCTTCTTATTTTTTTTCTCATTTAATATATTTGTCTTTTACACCCCTCTCCTAAAGCTTTCTCCGCGTTGCGTAGTTTCACAATGCCTCCGAGATCGGGTGCATTGCAAGCTTTCTGCACCTTGCGTGGTCTAACAATGCCTGCTTCATCAGCCCACCTTCGTCCGACTTATTATGTGGTTGATGACGTCATCGTGCGACGGCAACACGACGTTATGGTAACGCCATGATGTCTCAACGTTAATAATCTTTCACGTCATGTGATGATGGCGATTTCTTGCACGAGTATCACTCGTGCTGACGCAGCAAGAATCTTCAGCTGAATATTTCATACGTCAAATGAATAGCTCGTGGGATGCGCAGAACTCTGGCGGAACGAGAGAGCTTACAAAACTAGAATGTCGTTTAGAATATCTTGAATTATCTCGTCATACATTTACCACTCATCATTCCTCCTTCCACCTGCACTGCCACAAAGGCTGTTTGAAAAACAAAATCAGCAAATCAGCCTATACAGAAAGCAGCCTGATATTAATGCCACTCTCTATAGGACTTAACGCTACATGGAAGCTCCACGTGCTTGGTCGCCAGTGTGCCACGTCGCCATTGAACGAGCCGCATTTCAAGCACGAACAGTTCTATTCACCGGTCTCAACTTCCAGCCTTCGAATTCCTCCAGGACTTCGCCGAAGTGACACTACCCTCTTGTGTAGGTCATGGTTGGGTGTCGCATTTACGCGCGCGTATGCACTACACTGAGGAATGGCCGACACCGCTGCGTGTGGCCGCTGCGGCAGCGTTGAAACTATTCAACATACGAGCAATCAGTCTTAGTACCCACAATACTGTTTACAGAAACAGGTGCTTTGCTATGCCTTTTATAAACTGGACGATTGAAGTTTTAGATGCGGAGCCTCTTTTGCTCGGGTGTATGTCTCGCGGCGTCGGCGTCCGCACTCACACTACGCATGCGCAACTCTCCTCCTTCCCTCTCTCGAACAGTTGCGCAATACTTTGTCCACGTCTCTCCTACCACCTGCTTACGCCTCTCCTGCGTAGAGTTACCGTATATGTAAATACAGTAACTCTAGCATATAAAGTACCATACAGTACTCTACTCCTGCGTTCTCGCCTCTGCTCTCGCGGCGCACGGGCTATTCTGCTCCTCTAGTCTTCTCTCCTTCAAGTGAGAACATAAAGCGGGTGCGCATGCACTTGCTTTATATTCAGTGGCATCATTTATTTTTGTAAGTATGGTACTCCGCTTCCCACAATTGCTATGCCTTCACAAAGGCAAACTTGAGTCGCAGTCTAGCGCAGTGTCTTACGCGCTTCCTGGTATAGCCCTACATCTACATAGTGCAAAGCATACTTTTAGCCATGCTCTTAAGCTGCTTTTTCTAGTTTCCCCTACCCATGAGCAATACTCCCATAGAAGCCTTCAAAGGGGAAGTAAGGTGATGATAGAGAATACGAAGATGAAGATTATAGGTACAACAAGATGATGAATTGCAGTCAAAATGACACCGTTTCCGAATACACCACAGTGTTAACTAGTTCGACGAAATTGGGAACACTTGCGGGAATGAAGTTCAAATAAGGTGGAACAAGACGGGAGTTAGCATTGTCTGCTGGGACGTTGATCGCGAAGAAGACGTGGCTGGGCTAATTATGTGTTGAGACAGCCGCACTGGCCACTTACTTCGCGCAAGCAGGGTCTGTGCCTGTTAGTCAAGGAAGCACTGCACGAGCGCTTCGAGAAACTGTGACACCAATTGTGGCTTGCTGAGATGTGACACTTCGCTATACTCACGATTGCAGCTGGCCTTGCATTGTTCGACCGTCTCGTAGTTGTTGAAGTTGCCCTGGCAGCCTCCGTAGGTGAACTCCTTGCAGGTACTGGTAACGTTGTCGTAGTAGTAGCGCGTAATGGATGCATGGCATGGTCCGGGGTCAGGCTTCCCGAGGCAGGCGAAGTTGTGCACTGCGTTAAACGAAAAAGAGCTTGTCACGTGCTATAGTACCGCCGAGAAGGCAAAAATATTCGGCAGATCCCATGTCTTGTGGGAATCGGCTTCATGCCAAGCAGTGGTCGAACAATTGCCAATGCCGTATTCTTTTTTTTTTTTTTTTGCAGTGAGAAAAGCGTTTTGAGGTAAGTAGATCTGTTTTTGTGAGCGTAGTAGTGGTGTGTAAATCATGGCCCCACCTGGAACGGTGACTAGGATAGCGTTTTTAGAGGTAAAATGTGCCTGACGTAACCTCAAAAAATAGGTGGGGTTTAACTGTCTAAAACCACCATATGATTATGAGAGACGCCGTAGTGGAGGGCTCTGGAAATTTCGACCAACTTGGAGTTCTTTATATTGCATCCAAATATGCACTCACGGGCCTACAGCATTTTCTCTTCTAATGCAGCCGCCAGAACCGGGAATCGATCCCGCGACCTGCAGATCGGCACCCGAGTACCTTAGCCATTGGACCACTGCGGTGAGGCGCCTGACGTAACCTAGGCACTCACGTTGCTGTACAGACACCAGTATTATCTAAATTAAGTGCACTTCGAGGCGCGATCGCGTAATGTTGATACGTAATTCTGTATTCTCTCCAGAAATGAAATCTGTTCATTTCATTTCAATTTTATTAGCGCATTCCACCGCAGTCGAACAACGCTTGACTCAAGCTTGCGGAATCATAAATATTGAAATGTAATGTTTAGCAGACCGCTAGACAAGCGGAGCCAGAACTGGAGCCACCATTCACGTTAACCCGTTTTGAGGCCTGTATCACATGAGTACATATATAATGTTTATTGCTTTCTTATAAAATAAATAGTCTACACTGCAATCACAATCGACGTTGCACCGACATTACCGTTGCATAGGCTCTTTTTACAGAGCTGTTTAAAAACGAGGCATGTTTAGTGGTATAGAATGCCTGACCACCTCGAAGAACACTTAGTTTTCATTCCTGTAGGGATTCTCATTTTTGTATTTGCATTTTTCGGGTCAACGCTGCCGATGCGAAAATGTATTAAGGCTCTGTCATTTGATTGACCAACGTCTGTGTTCGATATTCATGGGCACACATAAACTGCGGTTCTCCAGTGGCGCATGCCCGCATATCGCGGCCCTTAGTACATGGTTATGTGCAACACGTCTCTGGAAAAAAGCGTTTCACGAAGTACGCGACAAGATTTTCAGGTTATTCATGTCATGGTTGAGGTATAGTCGTATTGAGCAAGTCCACTTGCCATGTACTTCCCATGTTTGTGTTCTTCAAGTCAAGGCTGCGATCACCAGCGCAGTGAGACGTAGTCGCCTAGATATCTAGACTGACAAATGCGTTGATAGAAATGCTCAAAGTGCCTTTGGTTCAATAAGAAATGTTTCGCAATTACAAAGGTGCTGGGGTATTCTGTGCGGTGAGATGAAAATGTTACGAATATTAATGCTAAATTCAGGTGACAAAATTACAACAAAATAAAACAATCTTTGGCCTGAATATGTGGGCGGTAATAAATACAATATGAAGTAGCGATAGTGAGGGGCACACCTAGAAGTTCTTTTTGTTGGGGAAGCCGGGGAGGGAAGGCAAGCACCCTTTACATGTACGTTCGTGGGTGTATATATTGGGATACGAAAGTAAAAAAAAATTCGGGGGAAGTGTCCCCGCCTCCCTAGTTACGACATTGATGATAGTAATATATATTTCAGTGGGCGATACTTCGCTCTTTGAGTAGTATCGATTCATTTACACCCCTTGGCGTTTCAAAAATGTGACCAAATAAGAAGTGTTTCATGCAGTTAGCCCGTAGATTGGGTTACCCTCAGGCATAGAGTTTCCTAAAATTAACTACAGGGGACTCTGGCGCTGTGGTCGTTCAGCGACCATGAGAATGAAGGACTTTGCCTATATAGTCTTCGTACTTGCGGGCAGCGATTCGCACTTGTGGCTTCGTTTATTGCTGCGTTTCGGTTTCGTTTTGAAGGAAAGAACGAACCCTTTTGAACTTCGCGACCAGGTTAAAAATTATAAGCCTAAAAGAATAAGGTAGTGATGCGCTACCGCTGAACGTTCACTGATTTTTGTGTCTTGAGAAAATGGCTTCACGCCACACGAATAAACATACAGCCAGAAGTAAGAAGATTAGACAAATCTGTGTACTACCCATAATTCCCATGCCCGCCAAAGCGCCATGCGTTGCAGCTCTCATAGACACTAGCGCCAGAGTTCGCTCTAGGCAATATTAAGAAAACTAGGTGGCCTCGAGCACGCTTATCATACGTGTTCTCACAATCTTGCCCTCGTTTTCCATCCATGCTTTTTCTTGACGCGCGCCCCCTCCCCCTCAAGCTCGCCCAGATGTGCAGCCTCTAGATCATATTATGGCTGATTAGGCTCACACAGGAGATGATCTGTCGCAGAAACCTCTCTCAAACCGGTACCTAAAATGAAAAAGCTGCACAGTTTATCTATTTTTCTGAGTACAAGACCAAATTTCAAGCTCCGTCGACGCCCTGAATGTTGCACTGTCGCACGCAATTTGAGGCTCAATCACGAATTCACTTCCGTCTGAAAAGATTGAATAAAAACGCATTGGTGTCTCACCTTCAAGGAGCCTACGCCCAGCGTTCACGTCCCACGTCGCTGAAAATAAAGTAAGAAAGGTACCTCAGACCAAACGCTGTTTTTTCGTTATGCAGACTCAATAAAAATTGCTTTATTGTCTCTTGTTAAGGCATGCGTGGTGACATAGTTGAGATATAAGTTATTTCATTGGCTTATAATTACGTGTCAAGGCAAAATACGATGAAATTACAAAAGCAGGACGAAACTCAGTTCACGATTCGTAAGTATATTGCTTTTTGTTTTTCGTTTTATCTTATGCGGAATTTGTTTTCTGTGAACACAACGGTCGCGTTTTCAAACCTGAGCAAATGCCTGGTCACTCTTGTATGTCATTTTGATGCACTCTTCTGTCTCGTATAGGACGTTTCGCATGTGTAAACTTTTAAGATGTGCGAACTTTAGAGTTGCTCTCGGTGAATTAAGTAGTAGAACACCGACTAGGTATGTTCGCGTCCACTCATGTGGTACTTTGTATTGTTTTGTCAATATAGACAACTTTGCAGTGAAAATAATCATGTGAAAGAAGAGTAATACCCTAAGCCACACTTATGTGCCAAATATTTCCTCACCACAACAACAACAAAAAGAAAAGCGCACCTTATGTGCAGGCATTTATAGGGCGCTCCCAGTGGTTAACAATGACTTGCCGTGTAGACAACTGCAAAGCATACTGTTTTCGCCAAAGAACAACATCAATGAACAGAAAGGAGAATCCATCTGTCACCATAGCACTCTAAAGCACCAGGCACTAAATCCACGCGGTTTAACCGGCGAGGGAGCATATATGATTGATGAACAACTGGTTTTCTTCTTTCGACTGTAGCTTATCTATGCGCAGACATATCAAAACTTGTGCTGGTGGCGCAGATGAATGATTTTTATCAGTCACATACCTCCATCTGAAAGGCCTCTGCAGAGTTTATTCGGATATTGGAAATTTCATTGTTGCACATTACGCCTTGTCGGTGCCGCGTATCACAACGTAAGTGTGTAGCGCAACTCTACGGCGTGGCTTAGGGTGTAATATACGTCTCGCAGCTAAACTTCAGGACGCGGGTTCAACTGCCAGTGACGGAGGCGGCATTTCTGCGGGGCCGCAATGTTAAGAAAAATCACTTAAATTCTTGTGCAGGGCAAGCAACTCCAGACGGTCAATATTAATCGAAGTTTACCACTACGCAGTGCCCCATATTAGGGAGTTTTAGAATACCGTTTGCAAGCGCTGCGGGCGTTGCGGGCGTAGCGGGCGCCGTATGAGTTTTAGAATAGCGTTTGCCCTGCTGCAAACCGCAACGCACGGTCACCGTGACACTTGAAACCAGCGCTTGCGGGCCACATGTGGGCCGCTATCACCGCACGCAATTTCGGATTTTCTGCGTGCGGTCCGCGAACGCGAACGCCGACTCGCGTTACGACGCATGCGCAGTGGCAGCGACCGCACCGCAAGGGCTCGCCGTGCGCTATTCTAAAACTTCCTATTATTGTCATTTCGGAACGTAATACTGCAGCAATTAATGTTACCAATAAGGGTTTATTTCGTGTAGCAGAGGATATCAGTGAATGCAAAAGCGACGCACATCGTCAGTTGCGCCTCGAGGCGGTGGTGAAAGACGCGATAGTGGCCACACATTGCCTAGTGGACGACTTACCTGATGCTTCGGCGCAGGTCTTCTCGCATTCTTCCTTGGTCGGGTATCTGTTGTCGTTCCCTTGGCAACCGCCGTAGATGAACTCCTCGCACTGGCTCGTGAATATGTTGTACCACCACATAGGCATGAAACCCTTGCATGGCCCGGGATCAGCTGTGGGCACGCATTGCTTGTCGAAATCGACGGCGGCTGCAACGAGATGCATCACCTCTTAGTTACCTTCCAACACTCTTGTCTTCAACAATGCGCGATTCCTCGTGACACTAAATATGCTCGAATGCAATATGAAGCTTTTGTCAGATGCGTTTGACGGAGCAAGGCATATTTAAAAGTGAGCGTAACAGTTTTCTCTAAGCTGCGCGTTGTTCGCTCGTTTTTGCTGTCTCACATGGCTCGGTATTATTACGTTTGTTTTCGACCACGTACGTTTTGTTAAATCAACCGAAGTTGCCATTATTACTAACGGTATTAATTTCAAAGAGAGCTTAGAGCAATACAAAATCGACGTGGAAGAAAATCCCACTTAGTGGTCCGAGTATGGAGGAAAAAAGAAAGAAAAAATGGAGCATGACGTCACGAGGACAGTCTTGGCAAGCAAGCCACGTCGTTTTGAAGACGGCACTGTCGGTTCAACACGTGACCTCTTGCGCAACATCACGCCAGCAAATAAACTTGCTGGTACTTAGAAGTGCGGTGTGTGGTAGATTTTAATCGAAACGCTCTGGTTTGACGCAGACCGACTGGCTCACGCCACTGATCTTTACTAGGGGAGCTGGATGGCGCATTGAGCGCACGGTTGAAGCCACCGAAAGACGGCGTTGGTGTCCGGGAAGCCACTGCCATAAATAGTCGTCTGCTGTGGGAGCGAGGGTTTTTCTCTTCTTTTTAATGAATTGCTGCTGCCTGTAGAGAGCTCTGAACTTTACGAATCGACCGCAAATGTCATGGCGAAGATATTTAATGCACAAGTACCTCGAAATTATATTAAATGTGAAGCATTTCTTCGCGAACTTCGGCGACTTCGAGCGTATCTATCTATCTATCTATCTATCTATCTATCTATCTATCTATCTATCTATCTATCTATCTATCTATCTATCTATCTATCTATCTATCTATCTATCTATCTATCTATCTATCTATCTAGACGCCTATGACTCTTAGCTCTCCTGGCCGTTTGGGTAAAGGTACCGACACCAAACTTGGTATGGCATAACATGACTGCATGATGGCATACTCGACTAGTAATAACATGAAAATCATGACAATATGTCATTATTGTCATGATTTACATTTCATTGTCTTGCTGGTCTTGCGGTGGTTTCGTTCACATTACATCTTGCAAAAGTGGTATGGTATGACATGATTGCATGGCAAACACAAGCTACAGACTGTAACATTAAAATTACGACATGCGTGTCATGTAAGAACATGAGTACATGCTACGCTCATGATGCGCTCGCGGCCGTTTCGCTAGCTTCCCATGTACCAAAGTTTGGTATTACGTGACGCGAACGGGCGACATAGGTAGATGACACATCCAAACATGATAATTGTGACATGCGTGTCATGTAACTACATGCCACACTCATGATGCGCTCGCGGCCATTTCGCTAGCTTGGCATATGCCAAATTTGGTATTTTGTGACGTCAATGGATGACGGAGGTATGTGACTGGCGCAAACATAATAATCATTAGATGCGTGTCATGTGACAACATGACTACATGCCATAGTCAATCCGCCAGTACACTTCGACGTGACACGGCGCGCGGGTGCACCGGCGTTCGTTTTGTCGCGTCACGCCGGCGTGGCCATGAAAGGCGCCAGTCCATGCGCCAGTCCTAGCCAATTTACTCGCAGGCGCGCGCCGCGCTGCGTTGCTTTGACGCATGCGCGTTTCGGCGCGTCCAGTGTCCCTCTGTCACGAAGAGAGGCAGACGCGGTGCTGTCTAAGTAACGTCGTCGGCACCAAATGCAGCATATTGCATTTCGCGCCGGTTGCCATCGGGCCGCGATGATGGACGCTGGTCGCGCCGGGCTAGAGATTATAGAGTTCTGGTGTTTTGATAACTTATAGCGTCGGGTGCCCAGCGTGCGCGTGCGTCAACGCTACATTGGAGTATATTGGGCCCTTCATGATGCGCTCGCGGCCGTTTTCTTAGCTACACATATACCGAATTTGGTGCTACGTGACGTCAAAGGATGACTAAATATATGACTGGTGCAAACATAATAATCCTGACACGTGTGTCATGTAAGAACATGACAACATGCCACGCTAATAGCGTGCTCGCAGTCGTTCCGATAGCTCCACATATACTAAATTTGGTATCACGTGACGTGAATAGATGACGAAGGTAAAGAACACATGCTAAAATGAAAGTCATGACCTGTAAGTCATGTACGGCATCATTTACTTCCACCTCGTAGCGTTGTGCCAATTTTAAAGTGACATATCAACCTTTCTTAATCGTGCTTCGCATATCATCGATTCCCACAGCACGCGGGATATGCCAATATTTTTTTTTGTCCTTGCACTTTTTTAAAGTACCGTGTACGTTAGTAACTAAAGCTGGAAACACTAAGCACGTTTTTACGCGACCGAAAAACGCTACTTGCGGCGAACGTTGCAGTTGCCACAATATTGATTTCTCGTACACAGCACCGTTACGGACGCTACGTACGCAGCCGGTCATCTATAGTACATACGCAGGCCGCGGATGCACGGCGGCGCTACTACATTGGTCCGCACTAGAGATCTATCAAATTTTTAAGCAGGAAATTGCCAAGGAAAGGATCTATGATAATATTCGGGGTAGTTCTTTACTGTTTGAGGCCAGGACGGGAGTACTGCGAACCAAGACATATCGGGCCAAATACGAAGGGGTAGACACGGTATGCAGGGCGAGTGGAGAGGAAAAAGAAACTGCCGAACACTTGATAATGTTCTGTAAAGGGCTTCGCCCTATAGTTCAGGATGATGGTGCAGAGTTTTTCAAAGCATTGGGGTTTAGGGCAGGGAGGGCAAAATAGACTTTAAGTGGGCAGAATTAACTAGAAGGAGGTTATCTGATTGGTGGCTAAAGTCAAGGCACGAGTGAAAATTAAACCCATCACTACAAAGTACGAAACCTCAAACTCGCTATTTGAAGGAAAAAAATAAATCTAGTTTTTGATTCATCAAGTATTACGGCTTGGTGTCGCTAGCCACCGCCCGATCTAATGGGTACAGCCATATCCATCTATCCATCGATTCAGGTAGGGGCTGGTAGAGTTTCCGTAAATGCTACTTACGCGAGAACAGTAGCGCATAGGTTTGCCACCTGGCCTGGCTAGCAATCACAGTTAAGCGGCGAAACCGCGCTTTGTTTTTGCAGGCGACTTCTTCAAGCCTGTCGCCGATTGGATGAACTGTGTCACAGATCGCCAGCCGACGTGCCTGACATGTCAACGACAAGCGAAGAAAGGAAGGAACGCCTACATTCGGAACTGTGAGGAAGGGAGTTCAAAAGCATTATTTAGTTTGTTTGGTAACGCAAAGCGCTAAGGCCTAGCATATGTCAAATAACATTCACTGCCCCTGCCGCACTGGTCATGTGGCGCCATCTATGAAAGCTTTGCAACGTTTCCCAAACACAAATATAGGCCCTCTGAGATTCAAGCAGTGCCCCACTAAGTCGACACCATGGATTACTATAGTGCGTTTTTCGAGAACGGTTGAAATCCACGCAAATACTCTGCTGTTGAAGCTTCAGGATATCAATGTACAGCAAAGAAAAGTACCGGTTCCTAGCCAACGAGCTATGGAGCGCACGACGGTCACTTGATGGACTCCAGCTGGACGGCAACCATTTTCAGTGGTGTGGCCTGTGAACCAGCTTCTCTGCAGTTCATGGTTGCTAGCGGCGTTAGAAAGCAATTGCGCTACTCTGCTACCTAAGGGCAGCATATAAAGTGCGCTCTATAGACTAGTAAAGCTGGGCTAGAGTAGGAAGCCTAAATGTGCACGCCGCCACGGTGACACTCATGAAACTCACCGACAGCCGCGCCGAAGAGGGCCAGGAACACGAACGTCTTCATGGTGCCGTCACGGACGTCCAAGGGTGACACGCGCGACCATCCCAAAAAGTCGCACCTTATAACACCTGCGAACTCGCTGGTATCGGTACGCAGCACTGATAAACATCTACCTTTGTGCACGAACGAAAGAAAAGCGCACGTCTTGGCCGATGCCGTCGCTATCAGTGGCATGACCGGAAACACACGAAGAGCAACTGCAGAAACGGCGTTTCGGTTGCTTTCAAAGCAAGCCACTTGTGAATCGTTGATTTTGGAGTTGGTGGCATGTGTGGTCAGAGTCTGAGTTTAGGGCCCCTGATACCAGCGTATTTCGAGGTTTTCTGTAATAGGTCATCGCGAGTAGTCCAGCACTCCTCACGAGTAAAGCAGGAGGTAACAATTAGTCGGAAATAGCCACTTCTGAATCTAAATATGGCTATTCTGCGTTGGACTGCCCTTGCCCAGGTTTGCACTTGCGTGACTGAAAGTTGTAACAGCGAAGCAGAAGTGGTGTTTATAACCAAAGAGAACACGCGAGGTCGTTTGAGAATGGCTTCCTCAATACTTAAGTCGGCAAGAATAATTACGACAACGTTCGTTGAATGACTTCAAGTGTCATTAGTGTATATGAGTTGCAATATTCTCTATATTCGCTTCTTTTGAATATGCAAGATTTAAAAAATTATGAGCCTTTATTGATATAGAACTACGAGTGATTCTTCAGAGCGAATCTGCGCTTGGTATACAGAAGGAGCAATTTAATACAGCAGAAAAGACCATGAGCACGCCTTCACAAGTCATGATGACCCCGTATACTATCATCCTCACGCCTCCGAAGAACCCAATGGTCACCAAGTAATTCCCACCCATTTAGCTAGCACAGACCTCTTTAAAATGATTAGCCTAATAGTAACTTTTTAGGATTCTTTTCTCGGCCGATCTTGCCTCACTTATGTTTATTGAGGCAACGTTGTGTGCTCTGCCACTTGTTTGTGAACATGACATGGTGAGTGTGAACATGACACGGTAAGTGTGAACATGACACGGTAAGTGCATCTTGTGGCATGCTTCGGTGATGTTGCTATATTGCCTCGAAGAGGACTTCTTTTGGTCAGTATTCCTTTCACTACAATTTTTGTGAACCATGCATAAGAGTGTGTTTACGAGACCACGAAGCTTACACACGAAATCATCGACACGAAGCTGACAGGTCGAAAAACCGAGATACGCGTTCTTTTGTGGTTGCCGACAAAGGCGTAGTGTCAGCTCGAGCTGCGCGTTGCGCGTGATCACTGCTTCCAGAAACACCCTCCAAGGGTCATTGGCCAACACTTTTTCTGCGTAAAACAACATGCCTTTTTTTTTAAACGCTAGATAGTTGAGCTTTTTTTTTTGTGACACTGTGAGCACGTGCTTGAGATATGAACATCAGGGAAGGTACTTCCTGTCTTTAAAAAAATGCTTATTTGAATTCAGCGTATTTGTTGCCAGTGAGAGTTATAGGGATAATACTTTTGTCCTCTTTTTTACGAAGACGTTGCACGATGGACGTGCAGAGCTATGCACTTTGAGCAATATGAGGGTCACTTTGTGAAGCTACAGCTATGTGCTTTTTGCGATATCGGGGACTTCAAAAAGTTAGAGCGACCACACAGCGCGAAACATTTTTCAGATCTGGCCTTTCGTTTAGCTTGGTCCCTTTTATATAATAAGGATTATCATAGTTTCTTATGTTACTCAACTCTAAAAAGATGCTTAACATATCGACGAGGTTCAGCCTCATACCGAAGCATTCGTCTAATGAAATTAGACACACTGAGTATCCTCAGCAAGTTTTAGGCGAATTAGTCCTAGCAAGGATTAGACCAGTAATTGAACAGAGAGAAACGAGTATTCTAAAAAAGGGTGAAACTGGTGATGTGTTTTTCAGTATATACTGTGGTAATATGGGATGTGTGTGTAGCAAAAAAATAAAATAAAAAGATAACAAAATACCATTACTTGACTTCTCAGGCCATTTTCTGTGTTTTTATGCCACTGGAAATCGGCAGCAGAAGAATCCACATTTGGGCAAATATAACTTGGTTTTACTTGTTGGAATCGGCGTTATAAGAATGCGAGTCCACAAGATGAAGGAACATACTGCAGCGGCGTTTCTGGCAACTAATTTTATTAGAAAGTAGAGCAGACACACTAGTTGAAATGTGACGATTACACATGTTCCGACTGCTTTTACACACAATCGCGCACGTCAAAAATATTCTAAAAAGTTACAAAAAAGGTAAATGCGTGATCGCATTTACATTATTTTGCTATGTTACTAATGGATTCAGGAAATGTAGCTGTGATGTAGAGCTCCTGAAGGCTGGCTTACAATCAGACTACTTTTTTACTGTTGATGTAGTAAGCCTTCAACATCCTCGCTAGAAACATCATTGTTATTTTTAGGGACGAAGCTCCTTGTGGCATGTCTTTTGTGTACCCCGTTGTCGTAGTGCGTAACCTGTGGCACATACCCGCATACCAGTGTCACATACCCGCCCTAAGGCACATATCGGCATGCCCACATGTTACGAAGAACGTAGCACGGCGTCGTTATCACGCTCTAGCTGTTAACGAAGTGCTGACAGCATGCTATCGTTTAGTCCTTGGATTGTCCGCTGGATGGTGGTTCTTGTATATGATGAATATATGACAAAAAAAGAAATGGCGGTACTTGAAGTGTTCACTAGATGGACAGACGCACGAACGGGTGCACGTATGGACAGACGGACGCATGGGCGGAAGCGCGGACGGATTTACGAATGATTCGCCCCACTCATCGTCATTCATCCGTGGATATGCTGTGATTTTTTTTTTTGAAAATATGGTTCCATCAAAAACAGTGGTGTATCCTAATTAAGCCTAAAACAGTGTCGACACTTTCGAGCAGCACGCGTGTACAGATTATATTCTACAGAACACTTATGTTCTGGCAACCGTGTACCTTCCCCCGCAGGGGCGTCTGCGTAAGTAGGCGTTTGGTGTGTAGCGACACCACGGATCCGAGCTAACGGGGGGTTTCGACTCCCTCCCACGCCTAGCCGTGCGTGGCTTTACCGTGTCCGGGGAAAAGGGAATCCTAGGAGTTGAGCCGACGCCGGGTGATTGAACCTTTTAAGGCCCTCTGGCAGAGGCAGCACACTTCTTTGGCTTCGGCTTGATAGACGGCACCCCTGGGCTGACCCACCCAGGGGAAATCGGCAGTTGCCTTTTCCTATCGCTCTCCTATCTCATCTTCGTCTTTATCTCTTACATTTTTATCTATCCTGTCATCTCCAAAGTTAGCCGAGATGGGAGTTTCTCCAGCAGACGAGCCCACAAAACTCCCCTGCCCCAATTATGTACTCCATGGTAGGGAGTGAACTCGGCACATGTCATCGTAAAACGCCCCCTCCTTAATCACAGAGTTTATGAACGACATGACCTTGTTGAACTCCCCAGGGAGTTTCAGGTCACGTGGTTACAAACTCCCTATAGGAGCTTTAAAAACCCTCTTTGGGCGTGACGCGCGCGCGCGCGCGTGTGTGTGTGTGTGTGTGTTTGTGTGTTTGATTGATTGATTGATATGTGGGGTTTAACGTCCCAAAACCACTATATGATTATGAGAGACGCCGTAGTGGAGGGCTCCGGAAATTTAGACCACCTGGGGTTCTTTAACGTGCACCCAAATCTGAGCACACGGGCCTACAACATTTCCCCCTCCATCGGAAATGCAGCCGCCGCAGCCGCGATTCGCGGGTCAGCAGCCGAGTACCTTAGCCACTAGACCACCGCGGCGGGGCGGTGTGTGTGTGTGTGTGTGTGTGTGTGTGTGTGTGTGTGTGTGTGTGTGTGTGTGTGTGTGTGTGTGTGTGTGTGCGGGCATATGTTTGCACGTCGGTGTGAAACACATGTGCTTTGTGTGGCTAACCGTGTAAGCATCTGTCAACAGCCAACGAAATTATCAGTGCAGCGAAGAATAGCAACGACCGGTTGGTATTTACTGGGAACATTTCAATATATTTCGCACCGTTAAACCACGCTGCACGTCGGTCCGATTTCTCAACGAAACGTCGTGATTGCCGCACTTGAAAGGGCCGAGTAACAAAAAACTTCGAAGAATAAATTAATGGTAGCAAAAGTAAGTTGTTACGATCGTCACTGGCTGCTCCTGGAGTTTCACCATCAGAAACTTCGAAGTGGTCTGAAGTAGGCTTCGCTAGACTACGGCAGGCTGGCCGGCAACCGGTCTGAGAGTTGCGCCGGCGACGCGCTCGCCCCGTCTCCGCCGATGGTGGCTTCTCGGAGTGTCACCGGTATTTCACCGGCTGCAACATCTAAGCGGTAGGAAGGCCTCGCTATGGCGTCCGTATCAAGCCGGCATCGTATCGAGCTCGCACTGCGCACCGGCCGCCGTGGCGAGCTCTGCGAGCTATACATGCAATGCATGCGAGCAATGGGAACAGCGGCTGCGAACCGTCTCATTCGTTTAAGCCTATCGCTCCGTAGCTTAAACTGTGTGGATAGTAGACACCTATTTCTGTGCATGGGAAAAACGAGACATAAACTGCAGATCAGCAAACATTTTGTGATCGCCAGCTGTCATTCATCGAATCACCGTGCCGTACTCGTGAGTGAGGCCTAGTCGTCGAACGCGGTAGCGGTGGTCTACCTCGGTTCATCGCTGGAGCTGCTAAATGTGCCTCGTTAATGTGTTCATTCAAGGCCGCGCGCACTTTGTGTATGATTCCGTGCATTTTACGGGTCCACAAACAGTACTGCTAATGCAAATTCAGCCTGTACGAAAGAGCGTCAACTGATGAAACTTTTTCGCTATAGTAAAAAAATAATAAATATTAGGCAGGCTTAGGATAAAAGGCATGTGTGTTGAAGTGCTTACATCAGACCACCGCAAGTTCATACTCACGCCGTGCGTAATTATTGCCTAATTACCAGCAAAAAAAAAGGCTTTCACCAGGGCGACATGGGAGGTAAAAATGTGGTGCATATATATACCCGGTGACTATAAGGTAGGTGTGTACTGCGTGTGGCAAGCTGTGGTGAGTGCGAGTGTTGTGGTATAACGTGAACATT